ACAACATTTGCATTTTAATCCCCATTGTTGGTGACTCCAGTTTTCTACCAAATATGTCTTGCTGGTGTGTGCCAGTGTAATCTCACACACAGAGACTCACAGATGTTTGTAATACTATATTTACGCAGACTTTCTAGTGAATACATGCATTTCTAAAGTAACCCAAACAAAGACATGCCAAACTTTAAACCTTGACTCCCGCCTGATAGACTGAACTCCATGTCGACAGACAGTCTGATAGACGTAACGAGATGCTTCTATACAGGTGTACTGCATGAAACAATTAACCAGTTAACATCCCTCTCTGTAGGGCTGCAACTACCATTTACTTTCATCCTCGATTTAATGCCAGATATGGATGCAATAAATCAATCAATCATTTTGTTAATAAATTGTCTTGCAATGCAGTTTTCGGTGAAACAGCTCTAAAAACCCACTGTACGCTACCTGCTCTGCAGCAAACGGCAGACCAACAGCGTTAGAGACTAGCTGGTGAACATAGTGGAGTACTTAGCAGGTAAAGAGACAGATTTTCCCTCAGGAGTTGGTAGAGACCAAAAACATAGAGCCGCAAGAGAGAGAATATTGAAGTTACATTCATCATCACAAACACGAAATAAATGATAATGTTGTTCTGCGTCTGCTGAATTTTTAAAAAGGCTACTGTTTGCTAACACATTTGCCATCTTAAAAGCATAGACGGGATAGATCGTGAACCTAGTCTCGTTGAAGCCACCCGTAGGTTTTTGAAGAGTGTGGCGGTCACCAAATCCAAAAATGGGCAAAGAGGGTGGGTGTAGCTATCCGACAACAAGCGTCTAGCCACCTAGCTGCTAGCCACACCCACTCGCACACACTCAAAGCAGCCACATCCTTAGGCATGCATAACTTTAATCTTAAATATAATTAAAACAGGTGAGTTATATAATTAGACACTCCTGTACAGTTGTCATGAACAGGGAAACCAAAACCGTTATTTTGCACCAGGCTGTAAACATGTTTATTTCTGCTGTAAAGTTGGGCATTTTAACATGGGGGTCTTTGAGGACTGACTCACTTTTGGAGCCAGCCTCAAGTGGCCATTGAAAGAACTGCAGTTTTGGCACTTCCCTGTTGGCTTGATTAATCAGCCCTGCAGGGTGCTGTTTGCTTAAAAAGCATTTCCAGCTTGTTTCTGTTGCCACCAAGTGACCAAAAGAAATCTGTCAATGCAGGTGAATGTAACATCTGACATGTTGTGGATACATTTCCATAATCCTTATGGCCTTATCTGTCCTGCCACTACAATTGATTTCACAAACGGTGTCCCAAATCCTCAAACCAAACAAAGATAGCAACTAGACATGTAAGCATATTTACCATTGTAGCAAAACTCTTTATCTTGAAAAATAGCACCCTGTTCTTGTTTTCTGCTTTACAGCATCCAGCAGATTTCTTAAAATAATTGCACTAAAGCCTCAAAGTGGTAGGATTTAATGATGTTATAACATTATGCCTCACTTGAAAAAAGAAATCTTGAAAGAGCGCTACGCCAGCATGTCCTCACCTTACAAATCAGAAGATCTTAAAGTCAAGCTGTTGCTAACAAGGATGGAAGAACAGGACACACACACACATTTTACACCATTGACATACAGTTTATTCCTGGGCTGACACCAGTCAGGCTTTAAAGAACCAAAGCAGCGGGATGAAAGAAGAAGAAAATAAGGCAGAGAGAAAAGAAAGGGGGCAAGATGGCTGACAGAGCACAGATAGATCCCATGTGGAAACCAAAGATGATTTTCCTTTGATGTGGCAGATGCACACATCCATAACGGGCCCTCTGAGAGAGAGAAAGAGATGAAGAAGGTGAATATACCTGCCGTCTTTTTTCTTTTTACTGTGGTGTTGGAGAGAAATGAAATTTAATGAGAGAGGAGGCCACAAGCAAGGGCAAAAAGAATTTAAATTAAACAATCTTTATCTTGTAGATTAGAAATAGGAAATGTATCCAGCGATACTGCCAAAGAACACAGAGTAGGATACAAGCACAACAGACAGTTTTATCTACTTTTGACTGCCTTGATTGATCAGGGAAAATCGCTGCACCTACGTGTTACTATGTTTACCAAGTTATTTTACGTGGATATATACACTCACTGACCACTTTATTAGGTACACCTTGCTAGCACCAGCTTGGACCCCCTTTTGCCTTCAGCACTGCCTTAATCCTTCGTGGCAGTCTTTCAAAAAGGTGTTGGAAACATTCCTCAGAGAATTTGGTCTATATTGACATGATAGATCATCTCGCAGTTGCTGCAGATTTTGTCGGCTGCACATCCATGATGCAAATTTGGATGTAACGAAAGGTTACTTGATTTACTGTTCACCTCTGACATCAACAAGACATTTCGGTCCAAACAACCTTTCTTCACAATTCTGATGATTGATTTGAACTTCAGCAAGTTGTCTTGACAACGTCTAAATGCATTAAGTTGCCGCCATGTGATTGGCTTATTAGCTATTTAACAAGCAATTGAACAGGTTTACCTAATAAAGTGGCCGGTGAGTGCACATGTCTTATACAGCTCAGATTATAAGATTGCTTCCTGAACAGTTCACGATCAGCTGATTGATTTAATAGTATTCTAGCTTTAGAAATCAAGCCAATATCAGACATTTACTATCAGAAAATCCTGTGGTTGGTCTTTTTCGCTTTCACACCACAAGCTAACCGCACAATAGTCTGGTTTAGAGAAAGAGCAGGGCCTTCCTTTTCAGGCGGCCGCGGTCCTGTTTGTTTGGTCTGCACCAGGGTTTGTTCTAACTAACCAAACAGGTTAGGAAATACAAACCAGCCAAAGCACATCAAACACTCTTCCAGTCTTTCTGGATCTTTGTAGCCTGTGTAATTTTGTCAGAATGCTCCCTAGCTATAGTGGGACCCTCTATAAACGTATGAAACCATCGTTCAAAGGTACCACAACACCTGAATACAGATTCCTATTCATTTGGGGTTCATTGTCTCGGACGCTTTGACATGGAGACGATCAAACCATCGACAATCACAGACATGATGCTACAGAATCGACAACACACTTGTATCACAAAACCTAGTGCAACTTTTATCTGAAAAAGAAAGCTTGTCATTGTAGACTTCAGGTATCTTTATCAAGACATCTTGTGTGATTGCATTGTTAACTGTAGTATTTAATTAGGCAGTCCACCAAAATAGAGTTACCCTGACACAAAAAGATTGTTTTGTATTTCTTTCAGAAGTCTGAATGAAAACACAGTTGAAAGCGTAAATGAATTAAAAAGTTTCCCAGAAAAATAACTTTCCTAATTAGTAGTTATTTTGTGAATGCAATGCTGTTACAAAGTGTTGGATTTCAAATTCAATATTCAGTTTCAAATAATATTCCTGTGGGGAACTTTGGGGTTCCTGTCTTAACTGTTCATTCAAAAGTCTGTTTATGTTATTTCTCCAATGTAATACTTTTGATATCAGTGGATAGGTAATTTAGGCGAGCAGGTGGTTAGAGAGATAAGGCTTTTCACACTAATAAATCCCTTTGCAATGAGGCGAACTGAAGTGAATCTAATTTGGAGAGAGTAAGAGCACAGGGGAAGCTCCAGTCAATTGACCACCAATCAGAACTATCTGATAGCCCCTGTAAAATCAGTGATTGGCCAGTAAAATGCCTGATCACGGGAGCGTAAATAAATGAACATGATGTGACTCTAAACAGTTTGATTTACTGGACAGAAGATCAAGACGATGCTGCTGTAATGAAAAACATTTTTTATGATGCACTCAGTACAATTTAGGAGGGGAAATGATCTTGTGGAGTTTATGTGAATCATCCAAGAATAACCTGATAGTAGCATCATAAGCAAACAGTTTTTGCAGAAAGATGTTATTACAGTGAGCGTGATGTTACTGCACACTGGAGCCTTGTTTTACAGCCACAGGCCACAGCTATAATTAAACACACCCATCCAGACTAATGGAAGGAGAAACTCAGTATGTCAGACAACTAATTGCTACACTCAGTCTCTCTTTTCACACACATACACACACTTTTGTCTTTTGTCTTTGCTAATCTAATCTGTCTCAGCAACTCTCACTTTTCAGGCCGTTACCTCCACGGTCTCCTCCTCATCCTCCTCCACCTCTCGTTTTTTTTTTTGGGTTTTAATGAGAAACTTCTCATTACCGCTTCTCGTTTCTCTTTGCTTTCAGCGTTCATTCTTTTCTCCTTGAGTTTCTGCTGCTGTTGGTGCTGTCCCACAGTACAGTGTTCTGCTTTGTTTAGAGGACAAGCACTAACTGTCTTTGTCTCTTAAAGTCAAGTTCAGTGGGTTTATTGTCAGGACTGTTTGTCAGAAATACAAAAGTTTTTACAAAACAGTTTAGGGCTGTAATTTAGTATTAATTTCATTACAGATTAATATGTCATTTATTTTTCTTTAGTAATTAATTGTTTAGTCAATATATTATCTGAAAACAAAATTAAAACATCTCTCACAATGTCCCAGAGCTCAATGTGACATCTTTAAACGTCTGGTTTTGTCTGACCAACAGTCCAAAACTAAAAGATAGTCAATTTACAATGATATAAAACAGATTAAAGCAACAGTGTTCAGCATTCCTGCTTGATAAATGACTTCAGATTAGGTCATTATCAAATAGTTACTGATTCATTTTCTACAGATGGACTAATCGATCAATCTGACTTACCGCTTTTGCACAGACGCAGCAACAAAATGTTAATTATTTCAGAACTTTGCCAGCGCAGTGGATAAGACGCATGCCTTTGATGTGAGAGACCCAGGTTCAGTTCCCCACAGTAACCCTCTGTGTAACACAGTAACACGTGCGACCTCTGACATAGATAGCAATTGTAAGTCGCTTTGGATAAAAGCGTCAGCTAAAATGAATAAATGTAATTGATGTTGGGGCAAAAAGAAAAAGAAACACAACTAACACTTCTTTCTTATCTCTGTTTTTCCAACAGTCATGATGGAGCGGTGGTTGGCGTGGCAGTTTGCCCTGTTCGCCCTGGCATCCATTTACCTCAGCCCCTCCCAGGGCAAAAACACAGTTTTTAACACAGAGTTCCGCTCTGAGTTTCTGATCAACAACGTGGTGGCCGATCCTCATACGGGCCGGCTATACGTCGGCGCCGTCAACAAACTCTACCAGCTGAACTCTGACCTCGAAGTCGAGGCCCACACCGACACGGGCCCAAAGCGAGACAACCGACAATGCACGCCGCCTGTCACCGACGCCTGCGAGGAGGCCGTGGACACAAACAACCACAACAAGCTGCTGCTGGTCCACAAGGCCAACAACGAGCTGGTGGTCTGTGGCAGCGTCTACAGAGGCATCTGCTCTCTGATGAACCTGAGCAACGTGGAGCAGCTGCTGTACTTCAGTGACACCAAAGGAGAGAAGTCATACGTGGCGAGCGCCGAGGAGGGCGTCTCCGTGGTGGGAGTGATGTCATACTTCACCAAGGATAGAGATAACTTCACCGTGTTCCTGGTAAGAAGGAAAAGAAACACTTAAATATATAATTTCCAGTGGCACCGAGGGAATAAAAAAATAAAAATAAAGAATATGAATGATCACTTCCATCTGTGATGTTGTGTGAACAAACGCTATAAAATTGCAATTTGTGTGGAGAAATGAAATTGGCAACCATATGGGAAATGAACGCTCTTGTCAGTTAGTCACACAGTATCAGTGGATTGATCTTTACAAGATGTTTTATGATGTTCTGGTGCTGTTGCTTATTCACACCCAGCAGACATAAAGAAACATTATTATTGACATTGTCATACATAATGAACATAAGTCCAATATTTGCTCTTTTTTTTTAGCTCTGTTTTGGTCACAAACAAACTGCTTAAAAAAAAAAAACCTGGCTCTTCAGCTATTTCACCTTCTTCATCTAGTTGCTTGATCTATTGTTAACATAAAGATATTGATAAGTGTAGCTCCCTAATGCAAGTCACAAGTCATGATTAAAGTCTTTGGGTGCTAAATGGGGAGGTGATGGGGCAGTGGATAAGACACGTGCCTTTGGTGTGAGAGACCCGGGTTTGATTCCTACTGTGACCCCTACACCAATGTGTCCCTGAGCAAGACACTTAACCCGTAGTTGCTCCAGAGGCGTGCAACCTCTGACATGTATAGCAATTTTAAGTCGCTTTGGATAAAAGCGTCAGCTAAATAAATAAATGTAAATGATGACCATTGGATTGAAACAGCATTTGACTATTTTCCTCTTAATGTTGTGAGTTTTACATAACTTTTTGGTACAAAGGCCTGATGATAAACTGTGTAAACTGTGTGACACTGTTGTTCGGTCGTTCCGCAGTCTCAAGTCAGATCAAGTCTCCGACAAGTCGTAATTGCGACATTGCAGTCCATGCCTCCAGTCTCAAGTCTAACACTGGAGCTTAACACATAAAGAAAACGTATATAAAGCACTTTGTCTTAATGACAAAATGAAAACAAGACCTTTTTCAGATGCTGCTGTTATGATTAGTTTCAGCGCTGATGAGGAAAACCTAGGATTTGGACCCAGGCGCAGTCACCAGGCAGAGCAGATTTGTTAATAAAATGTGGAACTTACAATGATGGTGAGGCAGGCGGTTCAAAACAAGGCAAAATTAATCCAAACAAAGAAGCAAATTAATCCAATACGGCATTAATTAGAGTGCAACAACAACATCAGGGCTGAGTGATAAACATAGATGAAGTAGTGGTATGAAATGGCAAAGAATGAGGGGAACAGACCGACTAAATACCGCAGTGAGGAGGACATAACGAGACACAGGTGAACTCAATGACACCAGGGACAGAACAACTTCAAAATAAAACAGGAAATACAGGATACATGAAACACAAACACCCCAGAAACGTGACAGCCTCATTACTAGGGTTGGTTAGGTATTGTTTAAACTTTTTACGATACCGGAACCAAAACCAGTACCCTTAAAGTGGTACAGATACCAATGGAGTACTTCATTTGATACCTTGCTATTTTTTGGTTGTTATGGACAAGCAAGGAGATCTTTTTCTTTTTAAAAAAACCTGTTATATAAAAATATTGGGAAACTGTATCATATCGCTCCTCATCCTAATTAGGTCATCCTCAGAGGAAGGAGGAATTTAAGTTAGCCAACTGGAGACGTTTCGATACTATTCGATACTGGGCTGTTTCAGTCGATTAGCGGTATCGCTGCTCGATACCCATCCCTACTCATTACATAAGTTTGATGTTTCTTCTGTCTTAGGTTGGAAAGGGGTACGGCAGCCACGACAGCACCAAGCTGATCTCCACCCGCATCCTCAAGGACTATGGTGATTGGGTGGTTTTTGACAGCATCATAGAGGCCTCAGCGGTCCAGGCCAACCCCTTCGTCCTGCGGTACCTCCACGACTTCCGCTTTGCTTTCAAAGACGGCGGCTTTGTGTACTTCCTGTTCTCACGGACGCTGGGGGTTCAGGACACCAAGAACTTCACCTTCATCTCCAGGATGTGCGAGAACGATCAGGGTTATTACTCCTACACCGAACTGCAGCTCAACTGCAGCGCTACCAACAAGTACAACAAAGCTCAGGTAATGATAATACAATCTTCAGCCACTGGGTCGCCGCAGCATTTTTTTTGAGGGCAGCAGTGATTTGGAAAAACACATTTGGACATTTCACGTTTGGATGCGTTTGTGTTAAATTGGAGCCTTTTTGAGAATGCCTCGATCCTGACCCTGGAAAAAAACTTTATAAATTGGATTTAAAATGCTCTTGAACTTGAAATAGCTTCAACATATTGGGTCTTTACTCTCACTGTACCACTGTTATATCAGCTAAATACATATTTTTATTGTGAACATCTAACATTCAGCATTTTTATCTGTTCCTCGTCTCCCAGGCCGCCTATGTAGCAACACCAGGTGATGTTTTGGCTCAGGCTATGACCAAATCAGGCCAGTACGGACCAGTTTCAGCCTCTGACAAGGTGCTGTTTGTCACCTTCACCTCTGATGAAGACCCACTTACTTCTGCCTTGTGTAGGTGTCATCTGAATATAGGCTGGTGTTCCTGGTATTTTATGTTGGCTGACGGTTGTCTGTTAGTTGCCATTTATAACCATGTGGCTCTGAAATATATTTATATTTCACATATCCTTTTGTTCAACACAAATCTGTTAATAAATCTGAGGTTCAGAGTTCATTCTTGACCTTGGAAACAGCAGCTGATAAAACAAATGTACTGCACATTTTACTAAGTAAGCAATAATCGCATGATCTTCATCAACAGAGCGAAAGTTCAAAGTGCATTCCTCTACTTTAAACCTCAGCTTTTGAGCCAACATGGACGAGAAGTCGTTAAAGTGCTCAGAGAAAAATGGCAGTTTTCTCATATATAGCTTCACATAACAGCAGGGTAACTTTATCTGGCGATGAAGATCATGTTATATGACAGAAAGCTCCAGAACAGCAACTTGTGGTGAGAATGTGCAGAAATTATTCTACGCAGCCAGACAAATCTGTCAATACAACTGTTTAACACCTTAACAGAGTGATCAAAACCCAGATTTTCCATTATATTGAAAATAATTTAAATGGCTATACAGTTAAAAAATATCTCTATTTTCCTTTTACCAAATAACATACTGTTATTTAATAACATACTGTTATTTGGTGCATGAGTCCAAAAGTGAAAGAGTGATTATTATTTTCCTTAGGTCGCCCAATTCTTAGAGGTGTGGACAGTCTTGACAAAAATGCGCCGCAGTTGAAAGTTTTGTGTAACCTCATTAGGATGTACACATTCTTTGCAGACATTTCACCTACAGTAAAGGTCGGGCTACAAAAGTATGGTCTACTGAAATTTAGTGGTCATAAAGCTGTAAATCTCTTTAAACTTTGCATTACTCATTCTTGTACAAATATTCTCAGGTTTTAGGTGGTCAACAGAAATCAGCATTTATTTTTTTCTTTTATCAAAAAAACCCACTGTAAATAGTTCGGACTTGCAATCCTTAAATATTTTGTTTATGGTTTGTGATTTTTGACAGAAAACATGGACTCATTTCAGCTAAATAGAAAACTTAAAACTGGTGGAAAACAGGTAAAAATTTTGTGTTTTTGCTCCTGTTGATAGGTATGTACCCTCTGCAGTCTATAAATAAGAGGCTGGTGGAGATAATAGGAGCCTGTTACAGCAACACCGGTATCATTAACGAGAAGTCTGCTGTCTACTCGCCTTACTCCTCCAAGTCTGAAGAGCTGTGTCTCAGCAGTAATCAGGTGAGGAACTATGCCTTTGTGTGAGAGATAAAAAGAGACTGAAATAAGAGCGAGATAAATATTGACAATGAGTCAAAAATTCAGTATTAATATGAATATTCTACTAGTGATTTTAATTTCTGTTCTGCTTCATCAAAAGCACATGGCCCTCAATTACAAGTGTGGAGCCGAGTTCCTGCCTTCCCCATTGGCCAGCAAGGCCGAGTTCGCCTTAACAGCTGAGCCCCAATTAATCCGAAAGGTTCACATGACCGCCGTGGCTGTGGCTGTGGAAATGGGGCACGCTGTGGCGTTTCTGGGCACCGCCACTGGAGAGGTAAAGCCTCCCCGGCTGACTTTTCACCATTTATTCAGTTTTACAATCCTTAGTCTTAGCTTTGGTGTGTAAACAATAAATATAAATAGCTAAATAAAAGTTATTAATGTTTTCTGATGATGTTAAAGGTTTGTATTGACTGAAAAGACTGTAGTCAAGTAGGCCTATATTGTTAATGGTCTTAGGGACATCATGAACCTCACATACCCAAGGAAAAGAGTCTTGTACTGAGCAGCTAAAAACGTTAGCTAGATATCTCACCAGCTAGTTATCTGGCTAGTTAGCTGGTTAGCTTATTATAGTGCTCGCAAGAAAGTTAGGGGCAGTTGTCAAACCAGAGATCGCAGTATAAATCTAAGGTCTTAACAGCTAGGCTACCAGAACGCCTCTCTAGAAAGCTCACCAGCTAGTTGGCTCATCAGCTGATCATATAATTCTGGAGATGCACAACCTGCCAGTCAGTTATGTTGTTATATCATATTATAAACTGTTTGTGGCAAAACCAAAGAGTTATACAGTAAGAAATGACTGTTCGGGCGTTTGAGTGCCACAGTAGGTTTGTATTGTGGTTAATATTTTAGAATTCAATAAGAAAAGGCAAAATTATAGTTAAATAATTAATTAAATAATTATTTGGATTTAAAGCGTTTCTTAGTTTCCTGGAAATGAACTGATATCTAACTGTTACTTCCAACATTTAGTATTGTGGTACTACTAGTAATTATAGAGAAAATGTACAAATAAATGCACACATCCAATCAATTCCTAGTGACTGCACATTGTTCTGGAGATGGTGAAGTGGATAAGACACATGCCTTTGGTATGAGAGACTCAAACTCAGGTTCAATTCCCACTGTCCTCCAATGCATCCACAATGATTGTAATGTTGTATTAATTCTGCACAAAAATGTGATTTGTCTACTGGTTAGCATACTAGAAAAACAGGAAGGATCAAGTTTTCAATAATACATTTATACATTTTTATTTTGGTTCACAGTTCTTTCAATGACATTTTCAGGAAATAAACAAGAGTTTAAACTCAACACAGTACAATAAACCTATATAAATGTCTCAGAACCTTGTCTACAAATTCCCCTTTATTGTTTTACTAAAAAACACAGTTTTCCAGGAAACCTCCAAATAAAGAGACCAGCTTTTTATAATACATTTTATTTCCTGCAGTCCTAAACTGCTGTGAATGAGCTTTCTATCCTGAGAAAGCTGGACATTTTTTCCTTCTTGTCTGTACAAAGGAGAAAATCCAGAGTGCAGAGTGGGTCAAAGTGTGTTAATGCAGTATTTGTGTTTCTATAGATGCTGAAGGTACATCTGTCGGCCCATCCTGAGGTGTACTCGCGAGTTGTGATCACAGGAGACAAGGTCAACAAGAACCTGCTGTTCGATTCCAGCCTCCAACACCTGTACATCACCACAGAGAAAAAGGTCAAACTCACTCAGACTTGGACACATTGATCGTTCTTTTTTTTTTTTACTAAATCCATTTCTCTCTCTTCCTATCCATCTAACACCTCTGTGTCGCCACATATAAAGAAGGTCAGGGACTCAGTCATGTGCTTACTTCTACTGTTTCATTTCATCCATCACGCCACGAGTCATTTATTCTGACCGTCTTATTTGATCATTTATTCGTTCGTTCGACTAACGCCGATACATCCATCTGCATTACCACACAGGAGTCAGCCATTGATTTATTCACTCATTCTCTTTTCTCTTCATCTGTCTTTCTCTTCTTTTGTCCTTTCATCTTTCGGTCGCCATCATTCTCTGACGCCACACCGAAGTGAAATTGATGTTATTGATTCAGAAATGAATTAATTAGAATGCACTTCAAGAGGGCAATTTACTTTGATCAAGTCAAGTGACGATACTCGAGCTTGTTCCATCTGCTCATTTAAATTTATTAGACCCAGCTCTTCTTGTCAGATAGGAAAATTATTTCCACAGCTGGCTGGAAGAACTTCTCTACTAAAAATACCATCCATCCAAGTCAAGACCAAGAAAATATTATACAGGGTAAATACTAAGTGATGTATATCTTGGGTGTAACTCTGAGCACATGATTAATCATTAACCCCGCATTCATGTGGTGTTATAATCAGAAAAATGTGTTCACAACTGGGACTATTCGCTTGAATGCCCCCTCAACTACGACTTGCAAAGTCAGCGAAAACTTTGGTACTCGATTTGTAGTTGACGTCATATCACGCAAAAACATCACAGATCACAGTAAATGCTTTTTGTATGTAATTTTTAGTATGGTATTAGGTTAGCTGCTGTCTGCGTAGATGACTTAAAGCTTATGAAAACACAGAAGTAGGAAAATCAACTTCCCAACTCGGGAAGTGGAACCATCCGAGGAGTACCTGAATGCAGCATAAGGCAGTGCATTAAATCTGACAGCTGGGAAAGTAAAACCGTACAAACACAAAACCAAAACACATGTCCCAAATGCATCTCAGCATTTATCACCTGTATTTTTCTCCAGACATTCTTCTTTTAAAAAAAACAAACAAACAGGATAAGTCTCTTCTGTACGGTGTCCATTTCAGGCCAAGCTTGTCAGGCTCGGCTCTGTACTGTCGGCCTACAGTACAGTAATTAAACGTTGCAAGGATATCATTATCTCTGATGTCCATCGTGAGAAACTGTCCATAAATCTGCTTAAAAATCAGACCTTGCCTGAGAATCATCCATTTTTTTTGTCCTAATCGAAAGGGTTACCTCTTACCCTTAAGCTGCATGTTGTTCACAATTACAGCTCATTCACAATAAAAGTCTGACTTCTATATGCAGATCACAATGGTTGCAGTCCAGGAATGCCACCTGAAGACAGACTGCCACTCCTGCGTCTCGCTGAAGGATCCGTACTGTGGCTGGTGTGTCCTGGAGGGAAAGTGAGTCAATCTGTCTGTGTGTATAAAGGTTTCAAACAAACATCATGTGTTTCCATCGTGTATGTATTAATTAAACTAAAGTAACACTATCGCTTTTACTTTTTCTGTTATTTAGTGAAACGTTTTAATTGAGTCAAATTTCTGAGATGAGATCGAACTATTAGGGAAGTTTGATATTATCTCCATCTGCTTGACTCGCAGGTGCACCAGGAAGCAGGAGTGTAGGAGGTCGACGGAGGAAAACACCTGGCTGTGGTCACCCAATCAGCAGTGTGTTCGGATCCAGAGCTTCAACCCTCCAAACCTCAGCTGCAAAAAGACACAGCAGGTAGGAAGTAGAGAGTGATACCGATGGTGTGAATGAACATGCATATTATTCAGAGTCTTTCCCGCTGCGGAGTGGAATCCCCCCTGAGCCAAATTCGGTTCTTGCTGAGCTCTGCTAAATTTAAACCAGTCAAACCTCCTGAAACTCTCGCAGACTTGGAGGGCTATGTGTTATCAGCAGCTTTTCAAACAGGCTCCTAACGTGGTCCGCCAGAGGCCCTCAAGGGAGTTACAAAGAAATAAATACATTTTTAATGAACAGTGGCATTATAATTTACTATTTTTGGATATGAGCCAGATGTATATTGCATAGAATCTATATTGTTTGTGCTGACAGTTGCTTTGACTCTGGAGTTTCTGGGCTGATTCAGCTCATAAAGTGAAATAATGCTTGCTTGGAAATGTTGTGTCACACCCAGAAACTGCTGATGATAACTTGTTTTGGTGAATCACATATGAGCAACAGGATCAACAGTGCTGATTTCAGTTAGGTTCAAAACAACACGGTTATACCTGATGAATGCTAAATAATAAGTATGTTGCTGTCAATTAATTGCACGTGTCCTCCCCTTTCAGGAACTGTTGCTAAGTCTGTCAAGCTTTTCCATTCTTGCACGGAACATGTTTAGTTTAAACTTTACAATGATAATTGTGACCAAAAACACAACTACACTTCATCAGCTGTAACTAGCTAGCTAATTAAGCTAGCGTTTGTTTCAAGAGTTGGTTAAAAGCCTCCTGCTGACTTTTTTAAAAATGTTTCCATCTGATTCATTTTAAAATGAGAACCCCGTAAAAGGGTTTAAAACGTTCACTTGATGGCTTTCTAGATGCTATCATGCTAAAAGACTCAGGCTAAGCCTCAAAAGTTGATAATATAATACATGGACACTGTTTGACTCTTAGCTTACATAATTAGTTATTATTTTCAAATAGCATTTTTGTTTTTTTACTTTTAACCTTACAGAAGAAAGGAAGATGATGATGTAAGTGCAAAAGTAATTCTAACTCGGTAACTAACTAACTAAGTTTGACTGTGGTTACTGGAGTGTTAAACTTTCCCAAATCTAGAGCAGTTCAAGTTAACCTGAACATCTGGAACTGGCTTCCACACAGTGGTGAAATACTTCATAGTGAATGTGACAGCCATGAATGGGATTTTTTTTAATATAACCTGCAGTCTAATCTGGTTGGCTAACAGTTAGCTAATGATATGCTAACTATTTGCTGTAGTAGTGGAAGAAGTACTAAGACCTTTTTTATTTAAGTAAAAGTAGCCATACCACAGTGTAGAAATAACTATTACCAGCATTTAAATTTTGCCTAAAGTAAAACTACCAAACCTTTTAACTAGTGATGTGCGATACCACTTAATTCCTATCCGATCCAATACCAAGTAATACCCAGGCTGGTATTGCCGATACCAATAGTTTTTACATATTTCTAGTTTAATGTGACCTCCCCCCTCCCGTTTCTGTATTTATGAGAGAAATAAGGAGCAGGCTGTGGCCTTACCAATTCAAAATAATAGCTGCATAATGACAAGACATCAAACTACTGTCATATTCTTTAATTATAGCCTAATAAAAATATCCTGCTCAGAACTACCGCTTCATATCATCATCCTATTACTTTCAGTTAATCTCAGATGTTTAGCGAAGTTTGCGGTGTTGCCAAAGTATTAAACTCACAAACTTTGCTCACACATCACACAGAGCATCATTATTACATTCACAGCTAAAATACAGCCAGATGTGTCTGTTTCTACAGTCAGCCAGAGTCTGTATTCAATCGCGGGAAATGTAAAAGGCTGCAGCGGCTCACTTCAAAGAAGAAGCTCTGTCACAGAGCCGTAGTGCAAGCATGACTTTGACAGGCAGAAGGAAAAGTAGTTCCTATGAACAGAGTATAATTAGACCATCCTGGTGGCAGTAAGATACTTATAATAAAACACACACTCACTCCAAATGACTGAGTTTAGATATCGATCCTTTTATGTGAGTATCGATCCTGGAGCAGGAAACGTTGGTATCAGAAATCACTACTTTTAACGTAACAAGCAATCTAATCTGGTCGGCTAACAGTTAGCTAATGATATGTGGATATGTGGACTTTAGTAGTGGAAGAACTACTAAGACCTTTTTATTTAAGTAGCCATACCACAGTGATGGTAATGTTGACTCAAGTAAAAGTATTAGCATCAAAATATACTTAAAGTACTTACTGTGCAGAATGGTCAATTTCAGAATATGTTATAGTGTATTTTATATTATATTTTTGGCTCTATAAAAAGTAAATAAAGGCATCACCATCCAAACATATCTGTTGTATCTTTTTTACTACAGAGATTTTTAAATTCTAAATCAAAATGCTGTGGCAGCCATTTTAAACTGAACCTAACGTCTGAACATGCTGAATTAATGAGGAATTGATCTAAGAGCCAGAAAGACCCGTCGTCCTTCAAGACACCAGACTATCGACTGACTTTCCCTTGCTCCGGTTGATCTGAAGGCAGAAATGTGTTTTGTATGTAGATTGTAACGTTGGTGATTTTAGTAACATTGTTGTCACAGTCAACCTCATCAGACATGCAGAGTCAACAAAACATCATTATGGGTGCGCGATAATTACAATCAGGTCAGGTTATAATAAACAATATGCAAATAGAAGTAGGTGAATCCTTTTGAAGTGCAACTGCAAAAAACTTTGCATTTAGTTTATTACGTCTGGTTACTTCAAGAGCTGTTTTTCGGTCCTTGGGAAAGTTTAACACTCCAGTAACCACAGTCAAACTTAGTTAGTTAGTCAATTGTCAAGTCAGCCAAGACAAGTCCGTTTAAAGTTTCAAGTCCATTTAAAGCAATATTTAAAGTCATATTTTCCTTGAGGGCAAGGGCAGGTCGCAGGTCAGGTCAGGTTAATAAGCAAATTTCAAATAAACCACCTATCATTTATCCTGATCATTTAAAAAAATATCACTTTAAATGTTTTTCAGCAACATGTCATGATGTCAAAAACAGAGCTTAAAGAGAGTGAATATTGCACTTACATTAATCAGGTGACACAAACACAACTCCAAACTATTGATAATGTTGCTCTCTAACTGCTGGATGTGTAAATGAGCAACTGTTTGCACACAAGTTCACCACAGCAATTTAAAGAGGTGGTATTATGCTCATTTTCAGGTTCAAAATCTTATTTAGGGGTTGTACCAGAACAGGTTTACATGGTTTAATTTTCACTTATTTTTTGTCATACTTCACATTGCTGCAGCTCCTCTTTTCACCCTGGGTTAAAGGGTTCGTTTTAGCTATGGAGTGATACATCTTGTCTCTAAATGATCTTTGTTGGGAGTTAAACATGCGCAGTTCCTAGTTAAGGACTACTAGCCAATCAGAAGCAGAGAAGGGCGGGTCAGCGAGAAGCGGGTAAACGGCTTTGGTTCAGCTGTACATGTTGCCGACCAGCTTGGCAACATGGACTGGAGCGAGAGTTTCAGAGTGGTGAGTTATTAATCTGTAACAAAAGGATCTTTCATCCATAAAGTTTTAACTGAGCTCTGTCTCTACATCACAGGAACAACTTCATGTCCACTGACTGCCTGGAGGGTAGCTAGTGTTTGGAAGGGAGAGGAGAGCTGTGTGCTGCAGCTCACTGTTTTTCCACCAGTGATTTTGAGGGCGTGTCGGAGTAGCCGCTTGGCGAGCATTATATGAGGCGTATTTTCCTTTCATCCCTGTGACGTCACAGGGATGAAAGAGAAACAGCTGGACTACAAACGAGCTGTTTTCAGGCAGTTCAGAGCAGAGTTTTCTGTGGGAGATGGGAACTCCCTTTGGGCTGGACATTCTTGCAAACTTATTACATGCACAAAAAAGCTATAAAACTCAATAAATGAGAGGCAAGAAGCATAATATGACCTCTTTAAAAGGTCAAAATTATTTTTACTGCTTGTGTATGCTGCTGCCAAGTGACGAAAGTTATTGCAGGTCCAAGTAAAGTCACATGTCTTTGTAAACAAATTCAAGATTTAAGGCTTTCTGCTTTGGATGCTCAAAGTTATTAATAGTATTTCTTTTTCACACAATTGAGACAAAGTCCTGTCAATGCACAGAACTACTGATTAAATATGCAAGCTGTGTGGGACAACAACCCTGTCTACTACAAATACGTTTACATTCTACTGATTTGCTTTGTCAAATATAGTTTGGAGGAATAATAATTGCTGCCTTGTTCCAATCAAGGATTTGTGACATTGTTCTACTGCACAAACAGTCTGATTGGAGGTCAGGATGAATAGCTGTGTGTACAAAGCACAGGGCTTTGAACGTCCTACATGTTTTTAAGTTTAAGCCTCTAGAAATTTTCGGTATGGTTAATTTTAGGGAAAGATTGTGCTTTTAGTTAAATATTGGAAAAGGGTGTTCTATTTAATCCTTTTTTTCCACACCCACAATTTTAAAAATATATATATGATGAGTTGTGGAGTATGAACAGACCAGATTAAGGTAGTGGTGTTCATGAGGGTCCTACACCAATACCACCATCTTTCCCTAACCTTAATTCATTAAAAGCATAAAGCAGCAACATGTATTTGCTATTGCAAGTTTTATAAGACAGAGTTTCTATGCAAGGTCTGCCTGCTTCTGTCTTTCACACCGGTCTTGAGACCACTTTTTGATGGTCTTGGTCTCATCTCGGACTCAACCACATATGTACTTGGTCTTGTCTCGGTCATTGAGGACATGGGATTTTATTTCAAGACCACAACTCTGGGAATATCAATAAATTGCTTTTGCATTGTCTGGTTTATTTGTTTACATCCAAATTTTTTATTGGATGTGAAATGTATTGCTTCAAATGCAAACATCCATCCATCCATCTTCATCCGCCTATCCGGGGTCGGGTCGCAGGGCAAATGAATCCAATAACCCTAATTAACCCTAATTGTGTTGTTACCGTTGACGACTGTCCTCCCTCCTCACGATGGTAAGCATGGAAAAGGAGCGTTGAATAAAGATGCTTACGTTGATTTCAGCTCTTAGTGTTTGTATGTGGGTGTTTTAATGGGAATGTGGATCTTTCAGATCAATTTGAGAAGTACCTATGATCTCATTCCACATTTTATTGTATGTCATGTAATGTGGAGAACTGGTCTTGGTCTTGACTCGGTCTCACCCTCCTCCTGGTCTTGGTCTCAGCTCCATCTCGATAAACTCTGGTCTTGGTCTTGTCAAGTCTCTGAGTCCTCTGTTTGTGACTGAAGTCTGACTCAAATCAGCTGTCGTGTCTGCAGCTCTGCTCATTTCTGATGGGATTTTAATTTCTCATGCATCATATTGTGCTTCAGATAGCGATGTTATAATCTGTTAACATCACAAAAACAATCAGAAGTTCTGATCAGGAAATGGAATGATTGTACAGCTTTGTGCACAAGTGTTTTAATTTGGTCTTCATTTCCTTTGAATCCTTTGAGATGACGTTAGTTTCTGGTGGGGAGGAGTCGAGTCCAGCTCTCTCTAAACACAACAACTCTTTAAGTTTGACCTCAGCAAATACCAGAATTAATTTAGGCCCAGATGGGTGAATTTTCTGCATGTTAATTAGGGAGTCTGGGACCATCGTCTCTGTTGCAGCCCCTTGTTTGATTTAGTAAAGACGGTTGGATTTTGGCTTTAAAAAACTTTGCTTCATGCAGCTTTACGTTCTTAAAAAGAGGAAAAAGTCTCCGGTGAATTCATTCAGGGGCTTTTCAGTTAGCTAAGATCAAAAAGTCTGAAATTAAAACTTAAGCAGCGAAATTAAAACTGTTGAGGTCAGCGAGGCGTAATGAGGAGCTGATGTTTCAACAGCACAGCTGAATAGTAATTATTACTCCACCACACACACAAACGACACGAGACTGCATACACACGTGCAAAGACAGTTGTATGCACAATTTGTCAAGGTCAGCCATTTGAACTTTCTTACTTATTTTCTCTCAATTACACATATTGCTTTCTTGCTTATTAACACACACGTACTATCTGTCTCTATTACCCTCTCTAAGTGTTATTAACAAGAATGTGGATGTAGGGGTGCCAGTTAGCTCTCTGCTACGGCAGAGTCCTTGCCGGTTCGAGTCCAACCCGTAGCCCTTTGTTGCATGTGAACCCCTCTCTCTCTTGCCTGTTTCCTGTTTATCTCAACTGTCCTGTCATACATAAAAGCTGACAAATAATGATGAACAAAATATTACTGAAAACAGTCAACATGTATGGTTTCAAATAAAAGTAATAAATAAATACATCCGTCTTAAAACAGCCGTCAGGTGCCCATATGACGATGTTTTTAATAGATTTTTGATGGCAGAGGAGTTCTGTTGAGTAAAGTCAGGTGATGTGACTTTATGTAAAGTGACATAATAGAAGTTTGTCAGTCCTCAGAGATTTTTGAGCCTGGAAGTGTTAACAGTATATCTAAGAAAATAATCTACTTACTACTCCATTTACTGCCTTTTGGAGCTTTTAACTGCACTTTATATCAAGGTAACTGTTCCTTTAACATCTCTGGTTATGTTGGGAAAATTAGATTTACAGGCTATTTACACCAGTGTGATTAAGTACATCGTCAAGTTTGGCCAAAACTAGCCGAAAATGTCTATTCCCATTTGTTTTTTAATCTATAAAACAATTGAATTTCCAAAAAATGTAATATGTTACAATATATATTTGTACTACACTATAAAGTTAAATATATGGTGATAAAACTTTTACGATTACAAAGCAGACCTTGTGTAGAGGTGTAAGATGTTGGCTACACAAACAACACTTGTTTGCATGATTAAAGTTGTTGTTGGTTGTGGACTTTTGATTTTCGGGTTAAATAAGATTAAATAAAGCCAGCCCAATTTTTTAATATTGCATATAAATGCATATAATTATTATCTTAATTACTCTGTCACATCCAGATTTTGTCTGTCACTCATCTCAAACACTCCCTTTCTCTGTGTACCACTAACTAACATGTCTCGTTTCTTTATCTCACTGCAGCCAGTAGAGATGTGAGATGAAAAATAACTACTCTCAACTCTCGACATTTTTCTCCTGATTCCTCCTCTCTCAGTCTGCCTCCCTCTGGTACTCCTTCATATGTCCTTTAATCCCACTCCCTCTCTTTTTACACTCCTTCTCTAGGTTGAGATCAACATACCCACACTCCCCAGTCTGAGCACCTCTGATAGGCTGTGGTGTGTTTTCGGCTCTGTCATCAAGGACGCTGTGATGTCCATAAGCAGTCGTGGACAGGTCACCTGTTCGCTGCCGGACCCCGTGGAAATCCCACCCACTCCTGACCAGCAGGGTAAGTGGGCACATGGAGGATTTACAAGATGCACAAGTGTTTATTGATATATGGATTCATTTGTTATTTCATTTGGAGAATTTGTTTGAGTTGCATCTGGCATGCAGAAATGTCTACCCTTCACTGACTTACTGTGTGACAAAAGAACTGTTGGATTATAAAGACTGAGGGCCCTATTTAAAATATCTAAAGCACATGCTCTAAAGCGCATGGTGCAAGTGCATTTAGGTCGTGTCCAACTGCGCATAATCTGGGCATTAAGTAAGGTGCAAGATAAAAAGGGTTTGTATTTAGTCTCTTCATTAATCATAGGTGTGTTTTGGGCGTAACATCTCACTTTAAAAGCTCAGAAAATCAGAAACGTATCACAGCAATTTCCCAAATGTCTACATATTTCTTTGTATATCTTTAAACCAAAACTTGGAGCTTTTGGTGAACAGTGCTCAACCTGGGAGGAAGTACTGCCTGTGAGACTGAACTCGGGGAACAAAGTCTTTGTAGCATTATATTTTTGAATGTCACAGATACTCTTCAGTGTTTTTAAAGTTTCAGTTGTCTTGTTATTCTTTATTTTGTCTCTCGCTTTAAAACTGTGTGTCTGTGTGTGTGTGTTCAGATTATGTGTCCGTCCCAGTCAAGGTTCTGGTGAACAACAACATCGATGTGACGTCTGGAGAGTATCACTTCTACAACTGCGCTGCTACAGTCAGGAAGAACCCAAACACACCGTAAGATGGACAACACACACACACATATCCTTGTGTCACTATCTTCATAGCCCTAACCTTATCCTAATTTTAACCCTTAAACCAAGTCCTAACCCTTAAACAGCCCTTTGAACCTGTGGGGTCTGACCGCTTTGTAGGGACCAAAATGAAACGTTTTTTTGGAGCCCACAAATATACTAGAACAAGCCCACACACACACTTGAATGGCGTGTATCATAAGTATGTTGTGTTGTTGTGTTTTCAGGTGTATAGCGTGTGTGACCAGTGAATGGAGCTGTCAGTGGAACGCTCAGGATCACAGCTGCAGTGACAGAGAAGATGGCGTAAATGAAGATCACATAGTTAAACCACAACAGGTAGGCGTTTCTGTGCTGTTCACGTTTTTGGGAGGATTTTGTAAATCCGCACTCAAATGCTGCACAGTTTTTCTTTTTCCATTCTGTTTAAACCAAGTATTTCTGCATAGTTGCAAAGATTAGAGACTTCTGTTTGTAATAATAATATTAATAATAATCAGTCATTTAGCTGATGCTTTTATCCAAAGCAGCTTACAATTGCTATACATGTCAGAGGTCGCACGCCTCTGGAGCAACTGGGGGTTAAGTGTCTTATCCGCTGCTCCATCAGCACCCCGTATTTGTAGAATTAGATTCCTGTTGTTGCTGTATTCTTTCCAACATTTTCAAGAGCTGAAAAAAGATATAATTTCCAAAATACACAATAGGTTTTTATCTGAAGAAATATTCTGCTTCAGTCTGTACTTGTTGGCGCTTAGCATTTTAAAAACAAAATTTTCTCTCCCGCGTGCTGCACACAAAGGGAGGCGCACACCTGTATTAACAAGCGTTCTAGCAGCAATCTAACAGCATCACAAATTACATTTATATAAAATCTATTTTGGCTCTAGTAGGTTGTGACATTACAACTCTCGTCCTTATGCACCGGACTGATTTTGAGTCCCCGATTAGAAATGTACACAATAATAATAATAATCAGCGTAGGAGGCGGAATTATTATTTCATCATTATTTAATGTCCTTTATGTCCTATTTTATGTCTCCCAACAAACTTCACAGATAAAGTCCCTACAGTTAGACATTAAATACAAGATGTATGATGTTTAGGTTTTAATTAAATAGTGGAATATTTGAATTTATGATGCTAATTTACTGACCACAAATTTACTTTGTCTACAATATTCTTGTTCCCCATCATTTTAGATGATGATTTGAAGGCCTTTACTGTACTAATATGTGTTGATGTGACTGTTAAACTCAATATTTCCTCTACTGGCTGTCTTTCTGTGATAAAGTCGCAGAGGTGTCCTCAGTTTGAGTCTCCGGAGCCGCTGCTAATCCCTGTGGGATTTGAAATCCCCATCAGTTTCCAGGGAAGAAACCTGGACATCTACACGGTGAGATCCGTCAGATTGCACATCAACTGGTGAATAAGTTCTTATCATCTGCTGGATGTATTTTATAATGCCCATCTCTGTCTCCAGGGTAAGACGTTTGCCATCGGGACTGAGCTGATGAAACACACAGAGAAGACAGTCATACAGGAGCAAGACTCAAAGTTCAAATTCACAGGTTATGAGGTCAGTATAGAGGACTCTGGACACCCAATGAGCACCAGAGCAGATAATAAAAGCCCATCAACACTGGTGTTATAGCAGAGCACACGGATGTTATAAAGCAACATATAAATAACTATAATGAGGAAGAGATTAAAATAATAAAATCAACAGGGAAGATAAAAAGAAAAAGCCTTATTTGTCTGTACACTGACGCAGTAGTTGTTTTTTTGCCTCTGCACTAAATAACCTAAATTAAACCCATTTAGTCCACTGAAAGATCCACTCTCTGATTCTTAGCAGCCACCAAATGCATACATTTCCTCCAGGCTCTCTGTTTATGTGTTGACGCTCATCTTTGAGCCCTACCAGGCGTTTCAAAATCAGGGAGTGTATCATTAATGATAATTAGACAATTAGTGACTCATTAGGGGTTAATTTGTGAGTATATTAACATAATTGTCCATCAGAAAAGCTCAGTTCTATTGTATTTCATGTTGTATTTGTATTGTAATGATTTTTTATTTATTTGTCTTTCAGTTTTAGTAATACTTCAACTCACGCTACTTTTTAGCTGTTTAACAGGTGCCCGTGTGTCTGACACTCTAACAATATGATTATTTTATATAAGTCATTGTTGTTTCTATGTGTGTGTCAGGGACTTTTTGCTCTCTCTTTTTTTTCTTACACACCCCTCAGCTTTTCCACTTTTCTGCCTCCATTGATCTTCACCTCATGCTGAGTCTAAGACTGCCAATATGTAGCTAAAGAGTGTGTGTGTGTGGGTTTGGGCTTGTTTTACTATATTTGTAGGGGTGCAAAAACCAGGATCCCACTATTCTTGTGGGGTCCGACTGCTTTGCGGGGACCAAAATGCTGGACCCCACAAGTTTAAAGGTTTTTTTTTAGGATTTAGCATTGGTTTTATGGTTCAGGTTAGAATTAGGTAAGGGGCTGGGAAATGCATTACGTCAGTGACAGGTCCCCACGAAGATAGTGCTACAAGGCTGTGTGTGTGTGTCGCTGCTAATTCTCCTCTCATTATCTCTTGTATTTTTCTCTTTACACACACACATCCTGACGAAAAACTTGATTTATGGCTGCAGGAGTGTGTGTGTGTTTGTGTGTGGGTGCTGACCTTCACAGTTAGATAGATGCAAAGTGTTAATGCAAAGTGTGTGTGTGTGCTTGCAGTTTTCCTATGACAAACAGCAGGAGGTGAACGTATCCTTCCACATCAAAGACAGAAACACTGAGAAGAAGATTGACAGCACCCTGACAGGTTGGTGTGTCCCTTATACAAACGCACACACACTCGCACACAATTCAACAAAGTGTGAATGTGCACTTATTATGCTGTTTGAGTTTTTCTCTGTTATTTCCAATTCAGTTCCAGCTGAATTATGCAAATTAGCGCTAACCTCTTCTTCTTCTTCTCCTCCTCCTCCCGACAGTCGTGCTGTATAACTGCTCAGTGGGAAGAGAAGACTGCAGTCTGTGTAAACACGCCGATGACACCTATCAGTGCGTTTGGTGCTCCGCCACACACACCTGTGTTTACCGGGAGCTCTGTCAGTCACCACAGCCGACACAGTGCCCCAACCCGGAAATCACAGATGTGAGTCATAAAAAAAACACCAGAACACTCCCTCTTATGTGTCACTATCAAACACTGTATGAGCTTCATCATGTACAGGACAGGCTCCTGATGTGCTGAAAAGTGATATAAGAAAAGCTCTTTAGGGTCCACACTACTGCGTTTTCGTTTTAAAACGGAGACCTTTTGCTACGTTTGCGCCCCCCGTCCAGACTAAAACCGCAAAAATGAAGACCTAAAACGGAGAAGTTTGATAACGCTGCAGACCCCGTTTTCGTCTTAAAACTCCGGGTAGCGCTTTAGTGCGGAAGGGACAAAAATCTTTCGAAACGATGACTCCGACGCTCACCTTTGGCGTGGTGCTACTGAGTTTTTGACTTGGTATTTTTATTAAAATATTTGTCCCATGCAAATAACACTTATCACCTACACTTGTACTTGGACTTCCTGTCTGTTTTCCGCCGCCAAAGTCGCTTTAACCTCCCTTGTCACATTCAGTAACAGTCCCAGCTCGTTATTGGTCCATGCATTCTTTGTCTGCATTTCTTTATTCTTTCGCCAAATCTTCTGTAACTACGGAATAGACCATCTGCTTCATGTTTACACTGGGAACACGCATGCCCAGTGCACCTGAACGCCCACTATGTGTGCGTTTTCAGTCGTTATCATGTAGACACAGATCAACTCGGATATGCAGTCAAAACGCTAATGTGGACGGAGATCGTATTTGTATTTGTATTTACTTGTACTTAACTTTATACCTCCACTCTACTACATTTATTTGATAACTATGTGTAGTTTAAAGTTTCAGATTAATAACACAGAATATAATCAACAAATAAATGATGGTGTGGTATTCCATCGTGGGGAATTCACAAGTTAGAAGTGTATTGAAGCAGCAGGAGGGAATTCTTTTAAATTACTTTTTGGCATATTTGCTAAAACTGTCACTATATTCTGACAGATAATCTCTACATGCTGCGCTGCCCCCCTTCCTCACACTTGCTGTCAGTCTGTCAACGAGAGGCATGACGACAATAACTGGGAATAACTTTTGAGGGGGGACAGTGGCGTACTGGCCTTTTTATCCTGCTGTTAGACGTTGTAGCAGCTGCCTCTGAAGCCTGGGGCGCTCTGCCCCGGGAAATGAAGAGCCGGAAGGGCGCCTTTGAAATGACAAGTCGCAGCGAGAGGGACCGGGGTCTTGGCGAGACTCTCACCAGGGAGAGCAAGCCCTATGTGGGATGAGGTTTCCAGGGCGACTGGCTCCTTCTTATGGGTTTGGTGGGCGGGGCTTAGCAGAGTCATCAAAGCAGCAGAGAGAGACTTTTTACTCCACCTTTAACCAGCTGCAACATTAAAGTGATGTTCACAATAATGCATCAGTAATTACCATCTGCATAATAGTACTTTAACTTTTGGTACTTTAAGTATATTTTCATGCTACCGCTTTTGTGTTTTCACTTTTTTGAATTAAACTTTTGAATGCAGGAATTATAACAGAATATTTCTATGCTGTAGTGTTGCTACTTTTACTTAAGTAAATGATCTGAGTACTTCTTCTGCCCATGATCACAGCACATGGCTTCTACATTAGTTAAGTCTTATGGCTTGGCCTATTATACAGTAAGTCAGTCAGTTGTGATAAAAATATGTTCATATAAACTCACAAAAGTTATTAATGAAAGAAATTTGCCTGTCACAACATAAACAAGTGCATCAGTGTATCATTACGACAGGTAGCTAATTAATGCTTTGCACAGCTGGCCCGGGCAGAACAACATACGGTATAACAAACCATATGAGCATGCATTCACAGTCTAGATTATAGAGTTTAATTCTTGATCATTAATTATCATGTGACATTTAATTTACTAATTTCCTTCAACTTTTGACCATTTTCTGTGCAGGCCTCTTGAAGCTTTCAAAATTAACTTAACAATAATGAGAATAAGATCTCTTACCACGTAGCCACAGCTTTTCCTTTAGTGTCACAAACATTTCAGTCCTGTTTATTATGATGTAATGGAATTAATTATAATTTATGTCCGAAGAAGTACTCAGATCTTTTTCTTAAGTAAAAGTAGCAATAAAGTGAATTCAGTTAAAATACAGTAAATAAATACTTTGTTACAAGTAAATGTCCTGCATTCAAAATTAAAAGTACAAAAACAGAATCTAAATATACTTTTGATTACCAAAAAATACTCTTTATAAACAATGGATATACAATATATTATACTATTATTTTATTACAATAATTGATGGAATAATGTTCTTATCACTTTAGTGTTGCAGCTGGTAATGGTGAAGCTAATTTTAATCACGTACTGCTGAGTGGCTTCATCTATAATAATATCATGATGGTTTATTTGTTGATAATATTTTGTGTTACTAATTGGAATCTGTACAGTAATTAGTAACTAAATGTATTAAATAAATGTAGTGCAATAAAAAGTATGTAACATATAATATATTAATATTTTAAGTATATTTCCCCTATGACATGTAGTGAGTGGAAGTATAAAATGGAAATATTCAAGTGAATCACAAATGCCTGTATGTATGTATGTATGTGTGTATATATATATATATATGATTATATTGTATGTATGTATGTACAGGCAGATTAACACAGTAACTCACTGCTTTTTGAAACAGCTTCCAAGTATGACTTTTGTGCGTTTGAGACGAACACGAGGGAGAAATAAAGGATGAGTAGAATCCCTCAATCTGTCAGGGTGATCGGCTCCATTAGTTCTCTCTCTCGCAGATCGGATCATTTCTAACTTGCTAATTTTAACAATTCATCATCTTCTTTAGATCAAATTGTACATCTTTTAAATCCATATAGCTTTTCACAAAGGGACAATTTCCCAATCAATCGCCTCTTCTCTTGAGTGTAACATTCAGAACTAAGTTTTCACTCTCATATTATATTCAGATTGTTTCCTTTTTGCAGCACATCTTCAGTTTGTTCTCATTCGTTTCAGGTCCCGTCTGGATTTTCCTTTTGTGCTGCAGCTGATTAGGTCAAAAGTTGTGATATTTCCACCTCAATATTTGAGCTTTTTGTGGCAAGAAGACAGGGAGCATTAAATACAAGGGACAGCTGAAATTACTTTTACTTGACATGAAAGCGAAGCCAAATCTGCTCAAACAGTAGCAGATATTTGCAGCCTCCTTGAAAAATACAGCTTTTAGGTTTAAAATTGGCTTCGCCAGCTGTTTACCTCAACATTTTAATGAATATGGTTACATTTATGTCATCGCAAAGGCCACATATTTAACGGCTGAATGTCGTCCAGTAACTAAATTGGTCACGAGAGACGATGCGTCACAATTTATTAGACTCAGCTCAGCAGATGACAGCGATTCATTGATCACGTTGGACGGCCACTTTGCGCTAATTAAAGCAAAATGTCTCAACGTCAGAACATAAATTTAACCTTCTGAATTCTTATAAGTTGGAAAAAAAATGTAATTTAGAGGCAAAACGGCTCAGTGAGTCGGAACATGTGAGTTTAATCTGGCTGTGGTTTGTGTAATATCACCAGTTGACCCAACGAGTCTAAATAAATTAGTTTAAAGTTAGATATTGACCAACTGGACTCATATTTTCAAGTCTGTTTCTACTCTAAATGCTGTCATTGTTAAAAATGGTGTGGTTGGGTGCGGTCATAAGTGTTGCACCTGTAAGCACACCCAACAGTGAACACCTGTCCATCACCGCAGCGAGGTGAGAAGTTAAACCACTGGAGGTCAGTCAGCAAAAACAAGGACTGGCTTTAAATCTGGCTGCATGGACACCAGTCGAAACACAGACTTTATGTAAAAAGATAATATTTTGTACTATAAATTAAAAGAGCTGCATGTCTTACTGTCCTTCCTCTCCTTCTGCAGATCATCCCTCGCTTCGGCCCTCTAAACGGTCAGATCTCAGTGACCATCAAAGGTTCCAACATGGGAATAAAGAAGGAAGACATCAAGAAGATCACAGTAGCAGGAGTGGACTGTGTTCACCAGGCGGACAGATACTCAGTCTCTACCAGGTAATCTAACGGAACGACAGCATTTACGTTACCATACAGCAGACAGGAGCTCGTCCGTCCTAACATCGAAGCTGGAAGGAGAGCTGCATAATAATAATAGTCAGTCGCAGACCCTAGCTGGAAGCCATTATTTCATCTCTCCCTCTCTTTCTGTCTACAGTGTGGTGTGCGAGATTGGCCCAGCAAAGCGAGTCCCACCGACTGACCTCCCGTTTGAACCAACCACCAGTGGACCCGTGGAGATAGAAGTAGATGGAAGCAGGAGAGGGACGTCTCAGGTCCTTTTCACTTACCGGGTAGGTCTAAACCGAAACGCTGTGCTAAAGACGCCTCCAAATAATGACTCAGATCAGGGCCGAAAAGACAAATAACCGTTTTCTCAACAGCATTTATATCGACTATATTTCTTTGTGTAATTAACTGCAAATTTTACCCACATATTTATACTTTCTTGACGCACAAATCACCAATCAGTGCCTACTGTGTGGTGACGCATGTCCACTCTTATACTCAAGGTACTCTGTGAAGTTTCTTTCTTATTATTAGTAGTTTTCTTGCGCAATATTTCAGATTGAGATTTTGAATTTGGGGTTTTTCTAAGCTGTATGCAATAATCATCGAAATAATATCAAATAAAGGCTTGAAATATTTCACTTTGCATGTAATGAGTCTATATAATATATTAGTTTCACCTTTTCAGTTGAATTACTGAAATAAATGAACTTTTGCACAATATGCTAATGTCTCGAGTTTCACCTGTATATCGGCCCTGCTCTCTAAATATCAGCCGTTGAAAAACCCACTATCATGCATCTGGATGATGCATGCATACTACTTTTACAACAGCACAGGTTTATTGGTACAAAATGCATACTGCTTTACTATCCACAAAATTCACTTTTCGTAACATGTAATTTCCAGGTGTGCTAGGACGCCATTTATACAGTAGTTTTGTGTCGTGATTTTGTTACTTAAAACATTTTTGTTTAACTGCAGCAAAAACATTGTTAAAAGCTGGCACCCTGAGACCTGCAGACGCTGTGTACACACGTCATCAAAGCAATACAGAACATTGTGTGACACAACGTCTTTCAAGCCAGGAGATCAAATCCCAGAAACATTAAAAAGGTTTATAACAGAGGAAAAGCACACGGCCGTCCTCGAGTGTGGTGCAGGGAAATCTGCTCGCTAAAGAAGCAGCAATGCTTGAAAATATCCCTCGCATATAAATTCACCGCTGCAACAAAACTAGATTCAACTTCCAGCAGTTCTTTCCACAAACCACGAATAGAAAAACAAATATGATCAAAATGAATAAGTTTCACCTGCTGTTCTGTTTTGTTTCTCCAAATAGGCTCAGTTGTTTAATTTAAATGTTGTTGTTCACTTTCATATTTCTTGTTTTTTTTCCTATTGGGCTGACAAAAAGCTAATTAAAGAAGACTGCTGAGACCACAATCACTCATTTGCTTCAGCAGCAGTATGTCTCAGTCTGTAAACCCTCCAACTTCCCTCAGAGAGTCTGGATTTGTTTGTCTTAAATTAAACCAATACTGTGGAAACACTAACAGGCAGACCGGTCTTTCTGTGGATTACTGCTTGGGTAACGTATTAAATTGTTTAAATTAGTCTAAAGGATACAAACATTGTATTACAAAACATTTGTTGATGATATTTTCCTGCCTCGGTAAAATGTTGATGAAATTTAAAGGGAGTGCTTTGAGAATGTTGTTACAGCCCGCCTCAAGGTGAGGACAAAGAGGAGAGTAGATATGAAACGTCTAGTTAATCAATCACTTTATCTGTTGAAAATTAAACGTATATGAAGCAAATATGCCTTTGTCTGATTTTAGCCACTCAAATGTGAGGATTTGTTGCTCTTTTTTTTTGGTCGTGTATGATTGTAAACCAAATGTTTTTCGGGTTTTGGAGGAATGAACAGATAAAGCGATGAATTTTAAATGCATCTGGGCTATTTTCAGACATTTTATAGCCCAAACAATTAATCTAGTAATTGCTAAAAATAATAATCAGATTAATCAACAATGAAAATAATAGTTAGATAGTCGTAGAGGAAAGAGCCACACATGAACAAAATATAAGAAGGCAAAGACAATATAAAGTATGTAAATACTACAAGACAGTATATTACATTATGTTAAAAACCCTGAAAACCTGGTTTCAAATCTTAAGTATTTCTCTTTAACATAAATATTTGCAACAAAGTAAAAGGCGAAAACAAAAATTATTTTTTAATCCTGTTTTTGAAGAGTTTAACACAATATTTAATTACTTCATCAGGACAGTTTAAAACACATAATTGACATATATGAAGTTGGTATGCTAACATGTTAACATGCAAGCAGTTGCTTATTTACACATCCAGCTAGACCCAAAGTTACATTACCATGAATTTGTATTCCTGTTTCTGGCCACTTGACGTATGTAAGACCTCTATTCACTCTCCTTTTAGCTCAGTTAGCTCCTGAACATGCTCCATTGTGTTCACCGGCTACATGCTAACTGTCTGCCAGATTGATTTGTTCATATTTCCATCCGTTGTATATCTGCTAGTGAATCTCCAAGTTTGAATTTCTGTCATCTTAATGCCAGAGTCAAAAAATAGAACTGTCTGCGTTGTCTTTGTCTCACAGACCAAATGTATTTCAGTCTCCGCTTCCTCCTGTGACGCTGTTGTGTTTGTGTACAACTTCCAACCAGGCAGAGTTGTTCTTAGTTTGTCTCTCTTCGGGGATGTTTGTTCTTGTGCTTTGCGGCTCTCTCTGCCAGAAAAGCAAGAACAAATCTGAAACGCCACCAAACCAAATGCTTAAGTATATCTCAGCAGCTGCACACCACACACTTGCTACGTGCTACACTGATTTAGAAAACATTGTTTTACTTCTTAAGTGTGGAATCATATTGCACCTTTATCCCGCCCCACCCCCCTCGCTTCCAAACAACCACAAATAATTTCATTCGCTCACTGTGCTCGGGCTGCTGTGTTGTAATTCTCCAGACAGATTGACTTCTTAAATTTCGAAGCCACTATATCCTTCAGTGTAGCTGAGAATTAATATCCCATCTTGCTGTGTTTGTCATGCTGTCAGCACTGCACAAAACCTGCCAGTAAAAACAGGAAACTAACCAGCTGGTGTATTTCAGCAGTCGCCGTCTCCTATCAATATTCTTCAAGCACACAAGTTGATAAAACTTCCCCCCAGGTGAAGTTCTACAGTGAAACTGATTTTTGTTTGTTTTTGAGTTATAGCTCGGTGCCTAAATACCATAGGGTATGGAGTTATTTAGCTTTGGAAAAATTTAAATATGTTTTTGGTTTTGATGTGTTGGAACAGAAAGAACTCTGTTAAAGTTTAATGTTCACTTGTCATTTTATTTTTCTCTTTGTTTTGTTCTCTTTGTAAAGTGTTCCCGCCGAAAATAACTGGTTTCAGACTGCAGGAAAAACACACCACAGACCTTTTTAATGGAGGGTAGAAAAACTAATTAGACATCATAATTAATTTAAAAGATTCTGGGAAACGACTCAAGTTGAAATGAGTCACAAACATTATCTGGAAAAAGACGTTGGACTGAAATACCTTTTAACTATTGGATATGCTGCCATTAAATTTGGTTCACACATTCATTTTAACCTCAGGGCAAATTTTAGTATCTTTAGTGAATAACGTCATCATAAGGGCAAAGTTTAGAAATGTCCAGTACTTTGGTTTATACCAAAATACCTGCAAAACTGATGATATTCCCAGTGGCTTAAGCTGTAGGAGTGAAAATCCATTCCCATGTCACCCTCTGACGAGTTGGTTGCACAGCTAAACTGTGGTTGCACCATGACAGTACACATGACTGCTACATTGCTCTACAGCCGCTCGGTAAACCTCACCTTTGGCCGTACCAGGCGGCCCCCCCCAACAGATTGGACATGGAACATTTTATATTGTGTCTCTCACATCCAAAAAGGAGAAGTTAACTATTAATTTATGACAACAATTTAAAGCTAGACAAGAGGAAAAAGACAAATACAGCATATGTGCATGCTTGGATTTGCAACTTATATGCTGAAAGGGTTTTACGAACTGCACTTTTTTTTACACTTACTTCACAATTTTGCTTCTATTTTAAATTCTATGGTACAAAGTAAAAAGTACAAAATGAAGAAATAGTGTTTTTTTCCCCCCTGTTCAATCTAAACTAGAGCAAAAAGTTCTGTAAATGTAGAAATCATTGAAGCGTTATACCATCTTTGTCTGTCTTTTTTTTCCTTCAAACTACTTGTCTAGCATCAGGGTGACAGAAAACTCTTAATCTGCTAATTTATTATCATCTCTGTTCAGGACCCCAAACCAGATGCCGTGCACCCAGCGAAGGGTCCTGCAGCCGGAGGAACCATGATCACCATCAGCGGCACAGACCTGGACACTGCAACTAAAGACGACATCGCCGTCACTGTGGGGGGAGTTCCCTGTGAAGTGTAAGCAACACCTGCTTCACAGTGTGATATGTTTACTTATGTTTTCCTAAGAGACAGTTAAACATTAAAAATATATATATCTCCCCTCTTCAGCCGGTCATTCGGCGCACAGATCACCTGCGAGACCGGGAGGTACCGTGGGCAGAAGGTGCCCTCTGACCCGTTAACGGTGACGGTGAAATACGGTAAAAACACCACCAAAGACGTCCCAGCTGCATACCAGTACTCTGATAACCCAAAGATCACAGATTATTACCCTAAGACCAGCTTCGTGTGGTGAGTATGTTTTTAAACGTTGGTTTACATCAGTTTGGTGGTACTGTAGATTGAGCTATTATTATATCATGTAGAAGCATTTAGAGCTGCCCTCAGTCCATCCTAAAGATCAGTATCAGGGCTTATGTGGGCATATTTTAATGAATCGTATTGGCTAAAATAAAGCTGGCAAAGTACAGAGATTCATAAAAACTGATGCTAAGCATCGTTAGCAAAGAGCAGTGTAGAAGAAAAAGTCTTTTGGGGATGTGCCGGGAGTCATTTTATGTTATTAAGATTAACTGTCCCTTTAATGTAATTACAACACACAGTTGTTGGTCAGTGGTGGAAAAGGTAAACAAATCCTCAGTTATATGCGTAAATTCCACTTTGAGATACTACATAAGTAAAAGTTTACAGTCTTATTTGAATAATAGTACAGATACAGTATTTAAGGGAATGTGGACTAAAGCAACAAAAACCAAACTACTCACATGAAGTATTTTTATGGGGAACAATCAGTATAGTAGCAAACTTTATCATGTGTGAAATTTAAATTAATTTCCACCTCTCCGTGTGTGTGTGTGTGTGTGTGTGTGTGTGTGTGTAGTGGTGGTCGAAGGATTGTGGTGATGGGATATGGTTTTGACCTGATCCAGAGAGCCACAATGAAAGTCCTGCCCTGCTCTGACGAGTTTTCACAGAATACAACTACTGTAGAGGTAAGTGTGTGTGTGTGTGTGTGTGTGTGTGAGTGATCAGTATGAATTTTATCAATGAAAACTGTGACAAAAAATAATCATTGAAATCCTTGATCACAATCAAATAGGAAAACAAATCAAAAAGTAACCAGTGAAAACCAGAAATGTACTATGTTTTGTATAAATGTACTGACAAATAAAAATAAGTGTGATTATGTTAAAGCTGGACGAATGAACAATTAAAGAATGAATAACTTTTTAGCAGCAACTACTTGCCACAGTGCTCCCTGCGGTCAGAGAATAATGGTATAAAAGTGTGTTTTTTAAACGACCTTCTGCGTTTGGCCGGTTAATTATCTTCTAGAGAGACCAATGGTTACCTCTGCGACACATGAGAGGCACAAACTGGAGCTGAGCTTAACCCAGATAGTGAACAAATTAGTGAATCAGCATCAGTGGAGAGAACAGGTAGCGGTGCTAATGTGCTGATGCTAGGTGAGCAGGAACAACAGAGAGAGAGGCAGAGAGAGCGCTTCATAGAGCGGTTCAGAATAACAGCAACTGGATTTATACTGCAGAGCAGAGTCGCATGGGACAAGTAGACAGAGCCTTTTCCACTAACCTCGCGACAGATGAGAGCGACACCTGTGACCGTGTTAACTGTACATAACAAAGAGGGCGTCAGGTGTAGCCTCAAAATGCTTAGAAGGTATAAAAAGAAAAAACAACAAAAGTCTAAAACTAATAAACATTCAATCAAAATCAGGTGCGAAGATTAAGACGTGTGTGTTTGTTTGTTTTGGAGTTGATGTTTGTACTAAAAGTTGTGTTGTTGCTGTTGTTTGATGGAGTTTGTTGGTCATTTCCTGTTTATTTCTTACACACGCTCTTGTTTCACAGTTTCCTTTCTCTGCAGAAAGTTATTTTTGTCCTCTTTATTTTCCACGCACACTTTTAAACTCAGTGTTTCTTCTCCCTTTGTTCCGTCATAAATCATTATCATGTTGGTGACACGTTTTTGTTGATGATGTTAATAATAAGAAAAGATGACAGTTTATCAAAGACAATATGCAACTGGATTGTCTTTAACACTTAAAGTACGGTGTACTGTGTTTTGTACATAACAAAATAGAGCAAATAAATTGGTTGCAACTAAGATAATTTTAAGAATTAGGTAGTTTTAAACTAGTAGTGTAGTGGCAAATAAAAACACTGGTAAACTAAACTGCCACTTGAGGACCATCATGGGGAAAACAACCATCCTCAAAGAAACGTCGAACATATTGTCAGAAATGTGTTTGTGTTTTTTTTTTATGTGTAATATCATGAAATTTACATTAGACACATTTTACTGTGGTATTAATGTTTAGCTTTTACTTTTTTTACATCACAGTATCTGAATTTGAAAAAAGTTTTTATATTACATGTTATTACAAAAAAGTTCCTTTATTTGTGGAGCACTTTTCAAAAACAAGTTACAAAGTGCTTTAATAAGTGTAAAGACCATAATACCCAAAAACAATACAAGATAAAAGCATGAAAGCATTGAAAAGACTAAAATACACGTTTAAGATAAATATAAACTTAGTAAAATACAATAAAATAAAAGGGATAAAATAAAGTCAAAACAAAAAATGAACAAATAATAGTAAAAAATAGTCAAGTATTAAGCACTTACTTTTTTGTCAGTGGGTTTTCTTAGATTTTAGATTAAAGAAGAAGATAAATCTTTGTTTTGTACTTGTGATCTGTCTGAGCTATACGGATCAATTCTACAGGAAATGTGTAATCAATAAAACTACCTAATATCAGAGGTGGACGACACTGACGGGACTAAATCAAAGTTTTATAAAAACACAATGACTGGATATATATCGGCCTGAAGCGGCGACTGACTCTTGTTCTGTCTGAGACGAAAACCTGAAACAGAAAAAGGGGGGCGACGCTTCTTTTTCACTGCTGAATAGCTTTCTAGTCGTCTCTTAGGAAAGATTCACTGCAGGGGACAGAAGGTGAAGTCGTCTTATCGTGGCTTCATCAAAGTCTGCTGTCTGAAGGAAGATGAGCAGACCCAGTGGGGGGAGGCAGAGAGACAAGATGGAAGAAGGGGGGAGGAAATCTGAAGTAAAAGTTACAACTGCACTGAAAATCTGGATTATTACTTGACTTTACCTGTTGGAGACACAGACACTTTTCTTTCAACCATCAGAAGATGTGTGAATTTGTGTCCACCTGATGAATGTCCAGTATTCTCTCTCTTTTACCTCTGGCTTTGGTCTCCACCACCTCCTGAGGGAAATATCTGGCTCTTAAGCTGCTTAATGCTGCTCTGTGTTCACCAGCTAGTCTCTAACTGTCTGTCTGCTGTTTGCTGCTGAGCAGGTCGTGTAAGGTGGCTTTTTAGAGCTTTTTCTCTGAAAACAGCTGCCTGCTGCGACCAAAAACGGCGCTGTGAGAGCAGCGAGAGTGAACCAAAACAGTTCAGTTGTGGCCCAGACAGATAAACAGTCAGCTGAAACTCAATTTAAAACTTACTAATTTAAATAAGACAACAAAAAGTCTCTAAATAGAAGTTACAGCCTCTTTGAATGTTCTGAAATGTGACGTAAACAAAGTGAAAATACTGCGGATTGAGAGCAAGAGTGGAACCATCTTTGTTTTGTTTTTAAAGACAAACATTGTTTTTATTTCCAGTTTATGGGCATATTTAAAGTAATTGCTGGTAGGTCCAATTTAAATTAGGTTATATTTACTTTTTAAAGCATACTTAGCTACTGCAGTTTTAAGTGATTTAAATAAGGCCTAAAAAGGCATTTAGACAAGCTATATAAAACTTTTAAAATGATAAAATAGAATTGAAGATAAATCTAAGTTACATAAACAGAATTAATAGAAGAATAAAAGAGAGATAAATATAAAAAGCCATATTTAATTTAATAAAAAGCAGTAGGTACAAAAAAAATTCAGCCCCGAGAGTTGAAGCAGACCTCAGGTTTTCTGTCATTTATTATTTTATTTATTTTATTGTTTGCATTTGAAGAAACCAAATAATGCAATGGGGTCCTGGCTGAATGGAATGGAGTAAAACACTGTGACGTGGCTTCTTCCCCGTTTTCATGTCTCTCTCAGTTTGTGGAGGAGGCTCTGAGTAAGAACGACACCGTCCTCCAGTTTTACTCTCCGGCCGTGAACTCCTGCTTCGACAGCCAGTCTTTCAGGACGGTTCTCCAGCTGGACAACGTGATGGAGGAGCTGAAGAGCTTCGACTATCACCCTAACCCCACCTTCAACAAACTCGCCAAGAACGTCATCACAGAGACGAGCATCATCATCGTGACTGTGAGGACAAACTGTTATTTTTACACTTTTACACTTAATAGCACTCTTTATCTCTTGAATCTGTTGAGTTCATTCGCTTCTTCTTGCTTTCGTCAGGGTCGAGGTTTCTCCAAGGCGATGACGGCCAAAGAGGCCCAGGCATTTGTTGGAGATGCCTCCTGCCACGTTAACATACTGCAGGTAAACACACACTGAAGATAACTTAAAAAGAAATAGAACTTTATAATGGCTTTTTAATGGATTTACACTGTAAAGACGGAGCTGATATTGGCATATTATTAAATGTAGTATATCAGACAGTCACATCATCCACGTCTAAAACTGCAGTGACGTTAATTCAGGATGATGCTGTCATGCTACAGAAACACAGGCTTCCAGAAATGCAGCATTAGGACACACTTAACACTTGATCCCTTGTGTAACACTATACAGCAAACCATTAGGCTCCCAGTTACAGCAGTGATTCTGCTGCAAAGATTATTTGACAAAAACAGAAATCTTTTACACTTTCAGCTTGTTTAAATGCACCTAAAGATATGTTGCCTCAATGTTCCTCCTCTTGTGTTTTCTGAGCTATGCAACAGCTGCTCCTCCATTTAGTTGAGTCAATCCGCCAAGATTTGTTTATTTCCATGAGAATAATGTTCAGATTAAACGCAGTTATTGGGCAGTAGGTGGTGTAAAGTTTGTCCTACTGCTTACAGTAATACTGCCCCTCTTCCTGAAACAAAAAACAAAGCTTGTTTAGTTTAAAAACACCTTGGGAAACGGCTGCTTAACTGTAGTTTATCTTTAGGTGAGAAATGACTGCCTCAATTGATCGCCTGTGTTACAGCAATGTAATGAATCTGGTGCATTTTAAATTTAATGTAAAGTGAATACAACATGGTGTTTTGTACCAGTGGTTTGTCACAAGATAAAGCTGAGGGGCTGCAAAATGATTATCAAGTAGGAAAGAAAAACATATTTCTGCAACGACAAATTATGTTTAGTTTTGTGAGTCCTCTTAAAGATTTTTTTGTACAGTACTGGAACGTTTTATATCTTAGGACTCCACACACTATTAAAATTGAACAATCTGAAAAAGAAACTGCTCAATGTCATATGTAACTGTTATGTTGTCTTGCTTGGCTTTAAAGGCTGGGAAACACTATTTTATACCACAGTAGGTGGATGAGTTGGAAAGCTAACCTGTGTCTTTAGCTCAGGTCACCCATCACTCATGTTATCACTAACAGAGTTAGACCAACAGTCTAACATGTGTTTTGTTCAGCTGGGTGACTCTTTCCTTCCCATCTTTCCTCTACAGGATGATAAGTTGATCCTTGAGGCTCCTTCATCACCGCCCCGAGCCAGATCCAGACGCCAACGCAGAGACACAACCAACGACCCGCTGGAGCTACTGGTAACCACACAACTAAACTATGTTCAGGGGCTCATGTAAAAGTCAACCTACCACCTTGGGATATTTAATATAAAACAGTTGAATGGGATTAAGGTTACAGGTGGAGGTGAATGAAATATTCACAGTGCTCCTCCGTAATTTAACTCAGACGATATTTTAACCATCAGGAAATGACAGGATATGGTCTGTGTCGTGGAAATTATATTCCTGGTGAGGGGTTGAGCAAAGAATTGAGTAACAACCAACCGTTGTACTAAAACACAGCTGATCCAGAGACCTGCAGCCTATGGCGGCTTCGGGCGTCTGGCCCCGAGCAAAGGGATGCATCATCATTTACACAGTCTAGGTTTCTATGTTTTGGGGAACAGAGATCCTCTCCAGGCCTTGAATGAACATTCCAGGAGAGGAGAGGAACAACAAGAGAGGGAAACACCAAAACAATCTCACAGCTCTGACCTAAACCCTAGTAAATGTGGACAGACTAACATAAGGAGTATATAGAGGAGAGGAAAGGTTAAGGATAAAAAAACACAATACATATATATCTATATGACATAACAATGATAGTAATAATAATAATATTAAAAGATCATACATAAAAGATTAAATGTAAGAGGACACAATTTTCTGCCATAACAGTCAATAAAAGACATTTAGCAGGAAAATGCTGAAAGAGAAAGACAAGCATCTCCAGAGGGCACCGGAGAGTTGAGGGAGAGGCAGAGATACTGCATGAGTCAAAAATCGCAACTGCGACACACATGGATATCATTTTTTGTGTGACTTACACTTCCTGAAAATATGATTATCTTTAATGTCCATCGTGAGTGAATTTGCTTCAGAACTTGCCTGAGAATCATCACGTTTCTTCAGTATCAAAGTAATCCAGTGATAGTTGTCTGTACATCCATGGGTTACACGGCAAACTGGAACTGCTAATAGCTAATTCAGCATACTTTTAACGGTGCCATTTTGCCAAAGTGTTATCAAATATAGGCTTAAAACCGGGCTGAAAACTGAATACAAGTGCCTACCTTTTTCGGGGTCTTTTCTCTTAACAGTTTTCTGTTTAAATAGGCCGATATGTTGGTGTGAGCATGTTTCCATCTGTCAGATTAGCAAAAATGTTTTTACCTTGCTCGATTTTCACACAAAAGTAAATTTTTTTTGTGCTGAGGACAACGCTGAAAAAAGCCGAGGGGTTCACTTTAACATACAAGCACAGCGCTCCGGATGGGATTTAAATTACAGGAGGACCAACAAGTTTGTAGAAAAACAGAACTTCATTGGGGGTTGTAATTATTTCTGAGATAGTGGTGAGAAATTACCCAAATACACACTCAGGAGAAGATTAAAATCACATAAAGACACAAAAACAGTTTTAATTTGTAGCTTAAATAAATGTAAGGCATTTAATACCAAATATGTCGAGCTAAATTACAGAAAAATGTCTTAAATGATGCAGATTTTCGATCTTCGTCTCTCTCCAGGTGAAGTTTGGTCATGGCGAGTGGAATGTGGGTTCAGTGTACTACGCCAGAAAAGAGGACATTCCTCTGGCTATAATCATCCCTGCAGTCATCATACCGATGCTGCTCTTCATCGCCGTGTCCGTCTACTGCTACAGGTTCGACAAATTATCCCAAAAACTCTTTATATAATAATTGTTTTTCTGTGTGTTGATGTGTTTAAATATCTCCGTGTATGTGTCTTTGGTGTGTGTTTGCTCTAACAGGAGGAAGAGTCAGCAGGCTGAGCGAGAATACGAGAAGGTGAAACACCAGCTGGAGAATCTGGAGGAGAGTGTGCGTGATCGCTGCAAGAAAGAGTTTACAGGTAGACGCAATCCCCTGACAGCTGGGGAGTCACATGACTGAAGTTATCTAGAGCAGATGTTTTTTAAGTGTGAGGCGGGACTACCCCAGCGGCGCTCCAAGCAGTTTCAGGGGAGGCTCAGGGAATGGAAGTGGGGAAAAAATATGACATTAGTTATCAAAAGGAGATCACGTATTAAAGCGTAAATGTGCATGATTTGGTAAAAGAGATGTATAATAGAGAGGTAGTTTGTTTACGTCTTTCCCAGAGTCAGAAACAGATAAATGCCTTTTTTGTGTATTTGGTGCAGTCTAAAGTTGTGTCAAACTGTAATGTTAGGCTATCTTTGCTCAATTTTTGAGTGTCTATGGGACCAAATAACATTATCAGGATCTCGTAGCCATCCAGGAATTGAGCAATACTAAGCGAGTAAACTAAGACTGGGTGAGGGATCTCCTATTTTCAAGCTTTGTGTGAGGGGAGGTCCGCAGTCTCAGACTTTGAAAACCTCTGATCTGGAGAAACATAAACAAACATAACTTATCCTCAGCACTGCTCCATGCAATACAGGTTTATTTTTATTCATTTTTGTATACATTGTCGGCTTTGTAGCAGAAGGAAATGTAATATGATGATTAAGTTTACCTCAGTCCAAACTCTTTATTACTCTTTATTACTACAGACCCATTCACCTCTCAGAAATGCAAAGCTTGACACACCTGCTCCCCTATTTACGGTTGCTAATATATAGTTAGACAATGGCTGTTTGAGGGACATGACTGGATATTTTTCCCGATTTGTATGCGTCTCTGTCAGATCTCATGATTGAAATGGAGGACCACACCAGTGATCTGAGCGAGGCCCGGATCCCCTTCTTGGACTACAAAACCTACACCGACCGAAACTTCTTCCTGCCCTCCAAAGACGGCACCAACGACGCCATAATCACAAGAGAAATACAAATCCCAGAAGCCCGCAAGGCCATCGTGGCTCAGGCACTCAACCAGTTCTCAAACCTACTGAACAGTAAAACCTTTCTCATCAATGTGAGTTTGAAGCTTTTGGTGGAATTTTGGTTATTTCGGGTCCCTCCCCCGTCTTCTTTCTTTCTGTCCTATTTTTTTTTTCTTTTTCTCACTGTCAGCAGTTTCAAGCTCTTAATGATGATTCTGCAAACCAGTGACACTCGGAGGTTCTGGCATTTTGTTAGAGAAAATTAATTTTACAGTAAAATATATTTTCTCTAGAAGGTGAATCCCTGATGATTTAGGTGACACCATGAACTTACCTCCAGCACCACTATCAGGCCAAAACCTTCACGCACTAGAGGTCTTCACGGATCCAAAACAGACCCGTGGAAAACCTTCCCAAACAACAACATACATTAATTAGTCTTTAAAAAGAGGAACTGAAGGATAATGAAACCAAATCCAAAATGCAGACGCTAACAGAGAGATAACATTGATGCTGGCGGCAACAGCACGATCCATCAATTAACAATGTAATAAGTACAAATATAAAGCCATAGAAATTAACTTGTTTATATACTAAAAATACTGAGATAGTCCTGTTTTTAACTCCTGCACCAACAATAAAACACTCCATTCCCAGCTGGATGATAAGTTGAGAATTTTAATTTTAATATCTGTGAATCAAATTGCAAAAACACACTAATAAATGTCAGCATACATTTTTTTAATTGGCTGATTTCCTAATATATTTTCCCCCGCTGTGATCATACGTAGCATCTGATCAGAGCTGAGTATAGTCTGATCTGGTTTCGATCCACATGGGTGTTTGACACATTGACACACAGACACAAGATCTGCAGCAGTAAAAATAAGACCCCATAATATTGCTCTATATGTTTTATTGAGGCTTGACAAACTACTATTTCCAAAGTACGTTTATGTTTTTTCAATTTAAAATACACCGTATTTTCTGCCTCTAGTTCATCCGCACGTTGGAGAGTCGTCCGGACTTTAACGCCCGGGCTCGGGGTTATTTTGCCTCCCTGCTGACGGTGGCGCTGCACGGAAAACTGGAGTATTACACGGACATCATGAGGACGCTGCTGCTGGAGCTGATGGACGAACACGTGCAGAACAAAAACCCCAAACTCATGCTGAGGAGGTGAGGAAGGGACGGATAGCCCTGTGTGAGCACATTCACACCACAGTTATCTATCTAGGCTGGGAGTTTAATAATGTAGTTATTTACACTGTGACTTTTCCATGATTACAAAAAAACCACAGGCTTAAAATGATGGTTGAAATGATTTTCTTGTTTCTTTGTTTGTGTTTCTAGGTCAGAGACTGTGGTGGAGAGGATGCTTTGTAATTGGATGTCCATCTGTCTCTATCAATTCCTGCGGGTAACACAAATACTTTCGCTCATTCTGTTTTTTTCTTTCTTCGATTTGTTTCTCTTCGATCTGTTGCTCTCGCCTGCCTTCTTCTTCTCTTTCTTCTCCTGTTGTTCCTTCTGTTATATTTGACTCTACTTTACTCTTTACTTCTCTCTGTCTTTTGTTGAAACCTTTTCCTGTATTTTTGCTCTTTTCTGTGGCTTTTTTTGGAAAGTTGATACTGGCAGCAGCCAGCCGATATGTTGTGCTGTGGTGTGTTTCTATAATTTAACATTCTCATACCAAAAATTGTGTTTACTCTTCAGCTCCAGACCAGGTTTTCCCACCATGGATATTTTTTATGTTGTGATTAGGATCAACAGTTGAATTGTGGTTTGCATTTAATCCCTCGAGCATAACAAAGTCCAAAGACTTCTAAGCCTCTTAAACATTTAGACCGTGGGACACTAAAATTCACTAAAACTTTATAAAAGTATACAAAGTTGAAATCAGGGCACTGCTATCTTGATAATTTTATTCATACCCGGCTTTAAGAACAAACTCATTTCATTGTACTTAAACACTTTAGACAGAAAACCAGTGGTGTAATATAACTAAGTACATTTACGTGAGTATAAAATTGAGGTACTTTACTTGAGCTTTCATAATTTTATACTTCTACTCTACATTTCAGAGGGAAATATTCTATTTGTATTTTTCTACAATTACACACAGCTTTACAAATTTAAGATGTTTGCACACAAAACATACAAAGAGTTTATATATTATGCTATTTTTCATGTGAAGCATTTCATGGCTCTCAAAATGGCTTTCAAAAAGTAGCTGCGTTTCCTTATATTGATTTATTAATAATGTTTAAACTGTTGGGTGGACAAAGCAGGCGTTGTGAAGGCGCTGTCTGTTTGGACGGCATTTCTCACTATTTTCTTGCAAAACAAATAATCAATAAATTAATGGTAAAAATAATTAGACAATTAATCCATGATAAAAAAAAATTAGCTCCACCTCAACCAACTACAGCAGTTAAATCCTGCTTTTACATAAATACATAAGGAATAATACTCTGATGATAGAATATATGATAGTACAACATTAACAAGGAAAATTTGACTGCTTTGAGAACTTTTACTTTTGATACTTTAAGTACATTTTTCTGATTATTATTATTATTTTCAATGAAGGACTTTTACTTGGATAAACAAAGTATTTTTACAGTGTGCTATAAGTACTCTTGATGAAGTAAAGAATAGGAATACTTCCTCCACCACCGCAGAAAAATACCCTCACTTTTCCTTTTGTATTCAGCAGATCTATGAATAAAATGTATTTAAATGTTGAAATCTTTTACTAAAAAAACACTATTTTCATCACATGAGATAAAAGTCTTGCTAAGGATAAATAGAAATCTAATTGTAATAAATAATAAAAACAATATGGATTCATATGGATCGGCCTGTTTACCTGTTCATAGGGTTTGAGTGCTTTTTTTAAAAACTAATGTGTTTGTGTCCTTGTTTTAGGACACGGCAGGAGAGCCTCTATACAAACTGTTCAAGGCCTTGAAGCACCAGGTTGAGAAGGGACCGGTGGATGCCAAGATGAAGAAAGCCAAATACACACTGAACGATACGGGGCTGCTGGGGGACGACGTTGAGTACTCTGTACTGGTCAGTATACACAGTACACACAAACACTTGTTGACCAGTGTGCATTTTGAATTTTGAAGGGCAGAGATATTCTTAGATTCCTTTTCGTGAACCGAACGCATTCAGCGTTTCCTCCTGACTCGATCGTTGACAGAACAGAAAAGGCCTCTGAAATTAGATCAGAATTTAGATGTTGAGCCAAAAAAATGCTTATTAATTTCATAAAACATGTAAAAAAAAATTTGAGTTGAAACGATTGAATGATAAATTCCCAATCAACAAAATGAATCTGCTATTCTACTTTTTAAGCAAAAACTGGGAGCACTCTGGTCGCTTTGAACCCCACAAAAGATCACACAGAAAAGCCTGAGCTGTATTATGAGTGGATGCATCTTCCGCTGTGGCTGCTCAGGCACAAGCCTGCGTCATGGCAATTCATTGAGACAGGCTGTAGTTGTGTCTGTAGTCAGAGCTGTGTGTTGGTTGTTATGAATCTGGCTCTGATCAATTGGTTTATATTGGGTGTAACACTAACTATATGCAGAAGTTTTGTGTATGTGCTGGCTGAGCATTGTACTGAAGCTATTTCTGAGCTCCTGAGGTGTGTTGGTGACATATCTGTCAACTCTGATAAGAAGCACCACAGGTTACAACCGCGTGTGGTTTAATGAAGCTTTCTCGCAGGAAGGAGTAGTCGACGTGCAGCTACCGTAGACATATCCATAGCATCCTAGATTCAACCAGCACAGCCAGGCGGAGCGGTTGCAGCTGTGCTCACAGTCAGTGGCTTTAATCCGTCGCTTAGCCTTTTAAAAAGAGTAATGAGCAATAAATGCTTTAGATAAAGTGTCACATCATCTCTGCTGTCTGTAGTAACTGGCATAATAACTGGACCAGCGCGCCTACTGTGCCAATGGATCAGGGGAATACAAACACAAAAGTAGTTCAAAAATTAATTTCCACTGTGACCCTTCAGGATTTGCTGCTTTTTTTCTGTTTTATATAATTGTAAATTAAATATCTTTTTTTGTTTTGGACTGTTGGTCAGACAAAACATGACATTTGAAGACGTCACCTCAGGCTCTGAGACACTGTGTTAGACATTCTTTCACTCTTTTTTGACATTATATAGAGGAAACAATTAATTCAGCAAACTAATCAGCAATGAAGTCACTTCAGAGTTTATTAGGCGTTACCTAAAATTTAAAACACACTCTTGATATCTTTCCGGTCAGCATCAGTATTTGGCTGACTAATGTGTTTGTGACTTCAGACTCTGCAGGTGTTGGTGCACGGGGAGGGACCCGATGTGACTCCAGTGAAGGTGCTGAACTGCGACACCATCTCCCAGGTAAATTTCTTCACCCGTCTCTGCGTCAGGAGCCAAATATCTTTCCTCATTTTGGGTTTCAGCTAAACTCAGTCCACGATTTTATCTCATATATGCAGAGAATGGACACTGGACTCCATTTTAGTTTAGTTTCTGTGATGTATCTTCAGTTGCCACTGTTTAATGTAGCCTTAAAGGTTAAAGGTAAATCCTTCACACCAGACAGTTTACCTGGAAGTTTTTCCACCACATGTATTAATCAATCTTTTGTGACATTTCTCTGATGTTCAGTGCTGATAAATGTGTCCTAGCACACATTTTGGCAAGTAAAATCTTAATTTTCTGCTCAACAGGTGAAAGAGAAGATCATCGATCAGGTCTACAGGAATCTGCCGTACTCACAGAGACCAAAGGTGGAGAGTGTTGCCCTGGGTAAGACACGGACACCGATCTAAATTAAAGAAGTGTTTTATAGATATTTATACAAGTCAATAATATGGCTGCAACCAGGGTTGGGGAGTAACGGATTACAGGCGTTACGTATTGAGGATACAAAAATAAAGTAACTGTATTCCGTTACAGTACAGAAAATAAAGACGTAGTCAGATTAACGTTACAGGTACATTTTGTAAAAACGGGGATTGAACATATGGATTACTTTAAGCAGAAAGTTTCCATTAAACGGAAAGCGGAGTGCTATTTGCTATTAACGTGTTTCCTGTAAAAACACAAAGCTAGGGAGGGACACAGATATTGATTGGCATGTAGCCAGTAGTTGAATGTGGTTACGCCACCCATTAAATGAGTGAACGATAGAGGCCAGTTTGACCACTGGGAATACAGTACAAAGGAGGTTTTCTTGCCGGTTTGGCTCTTGTCACCCCGGGGAGGAGTCAACTAATGAGGCTGTGTTCGGTCCAGTTCGTGTCGTGTTCACTTGGAGGCTGCTGAGTGCAGTTTTATTGCCCTGCTCGCTCAGCACTGCTCCCCGCAATCATTCCCCGCCGGGTTCCCCCTCCCCTGGCCTGAAAACCTCCAGTGCTTGAGTGTAAACCTGAACACACACTCCGGTGCTCCAAGTTGCCCAGCACTGGCATAGGAAGTTAATTTGACCAGTAGTTTCAGGCTAACTGAGCTAATTAGATAATGGCAGCTAGTTAGCAGCAACAAGAAAAGCCATCAGGGTTGAGGCGGAGCAGCCGGGGGAACATCAGAGAGAAAACGAGAAAATATTTTCCATCAAATATGATCCAGTTTCTGCAAAATCAATGAATAAAGTTGTGCTTTCTTACAGTAATCAGTGGTGCCCAATCCCAGAACGACTATTTTCAGTCATTAAAAATAAAGAAAGCTTTTCATTGGACACTAAAGTAATACAGGCCCCCCAGAGCGGATTCATCAACATTTTGAAATCGTTTAGCAGCACACACTCTAAAATGTCTTCAAGAAAACCTACAAGACAAGTCATTGATGGGCCAGATCCTGCCATATGACATCTAGGCCCAGGGCAAGGCATATGATATAAAAACTTTTAAACATCGATTTTGATTTCATGGGAATGGGATATTTTATAATTGCATGTTTACAATTATATAATCAATACACTGCACAGACAACATAGCTTTGACACTCTCTTGTCTTTATTTGCGTATTTGGTATTGAAGTAATCCAAAAGTAACTAGAAGTAATCAGGTTACATTACTTTTATTTTCTGGAACTTGGATTAAGTTACTGATTACATTTTTTAACATTTAATTAGTAATTTTACCGGATTACGTTTTCAAAGTAACCCTCCCAACCCTGGCTGTCACTGAATGCTCAGGAGTTTGTCGCCCCCTGCAGCTGTGTGTTGACTCTGCATGGTTAACATGGGGGGGTGTAATGCTATAATCAACAACCAATAAAACTATTTTTAGTCGATTTAATATTTATAGAGTGCGGTTTAGTTAAGGAGAACATAACACAGTTACAAAAAGCTCTTATACAAAGACTGTGTACTTTTAAAACAGTGCCTCAACTTATTGATTATTGTAAATTAGTGAGAGAGAGAGTATTTTATTGATCCTTAATGGAAATTCACAAGCACAGCAGTTAAATCACACAAAATAGAACAGTGACACTCTCCTTTTATATACAGCCTTTATTTAATCAGGTAATCTCATTGAGATCAATATCCCTTTTGCGATGGAGATCTGAGTATAGCAAGATATAAACAAAAAAGGACATTAAAGTTTGCTTTATCTTCCGTCATTCCTGTCTCTCCCCAGCAGACCGCTTGTATTATGAAAGAAAATGTGATTTTCTCCTACGTCCACAGAGTGGCGCCCGGGCTCCACGGGTCAGATCCTGTCCGACCTCGACCTGACCTCCCAGAAAGAAGGACGCTGGAAGAGGCTCAACACCCTGGCTCATTACAACGTAAGTTTGGTTTGCCACAAATTTGTCTGTAGGCTTTCGTGCTTATACTTTATTATAATTTACTTTATTCAGTGCAGTCAAAAGTATTTCCTTACTGTCTCTCTGAAACCCAGATTTACAATTGGATTAAATAACTCTAGGTTAGATGGGGTGATTTTAATCCTGTCCAGAGTGCATATGTGCATATTTTTCAGCCCCTACTCTAGTAACTACCGTTTTTCAGCATTCGTCAGTCAGCTGGGCTTCAGATTTGTCCCAAGCTTAAGTTGATGCAGCGAGTCAGGAGAGACTGGAGTTCATGTTCCTGCTGCAGAATCTGGTTGTTTTTAATCTTTCCTTCTGTGTGTTGAGCTCCGACTTTTTCTTCTGCACCGAAACGACCAAAAAACTGAAGTGCAGAGAAATGTCGAGCCACGCGAGACCCGTCCTCATGGTTGCACGAAAACAGTCAGAAACTAGAAACACTTTCTCCAGACGCCCCTCTCACATTCAAAGACAATGATTTATTGCGAAAGCTGCAGTGAGACCTTGATAACTGTGTGCATAGGATATTTTTCTCACTGATTTCTATGATTTTTTTTGTCTTCCAGGTTCGTGATAACGCCACGTTGGTCCTCTCCAGAGTTTTGCACACACAGTCCTTTCACCAGCACCAAGACAGCCAGGAAGAAAGTATGTACGCACACACACACACACACGCTCTGAGGCACTTGTTGAATGTTACTCAGGTCTTATACTGAAATAGAGTTTTCATGTTCTTGAACTTTGCTTTTCCTAGACTCAACTTATCTGATGGCTGTGGTCTCTGGTTACTTTGAAACTTACGACTTACTACAGAAAACAAAATCATAAAGATTTGATATTTAATTAACGAACCCTGAAGCAGGAAATAAAGATAATAACATTTAGATAAAGAAACAACATAGAAACAGCAACATTTTCAAGAAAAGATACAGACACAGGAGACAGTTATCACATAATAAGCTACAAATACACAATTTTGAGTTTCCTGTGCCTGTAAGAACCAGAAAAAGGTGAAAATCACACAAACTGGATTTGTGGTTTTTAACAAAAAGTGACAAAATCTTGGCAGGTGAAAAACGTAATTACTTATTGGAAAATTATTTAAAGCCAAAAATGATCTTTGATTAATATGAAAACTTATAACTGTGATTCTACAATTGATCTGAAAACCTGATAATATTGTCACTTGACCGCAAAACTTACTTTTACTTGAGGAAAACAATGACACAAAGTACAAAATATTTCTTCCACAGCTTTTTGGTAAGGCTCAGTTATTCACCCAAATACACACATTTTAAAAAGTATTAGTGTCAGAGGACACAGTTATGTTATGTTAGTTTAAACAACCCCTCCCACTAACAAATATAATTTCTTAGGAACAAAATCAGTTTAATAAACTAGGAAACACTTTAAATTTGAAGTAGATTCTTATATATCAGATCCATTCAAAACAATTTTCCCCTTATAATGCGATCATGGCCAAAACAGGTTAGAAAACTTCTGTAATAATCCTTATATTTTCATACTACTATACTTGTTATGCAGGCCAACTGCAAAATGATTTAAATACATTATGACAGACTCTTGTTCAGACTTTAAGATGAACAAGAGTCCCAACTTAGAGTCATTGAATGCTTGTGCACTGATGATATTTTAAAAGCAGAAGTTGAGCTCTAATAACTTGAAATGATTAAATTGAATTGTAAAAATGTATGGGTAGTAAAAACCCGCCACCTACTCCATGTGTGAAAAAGGCTTGTTTCTCTCTCTGTGTGTTACTCGCTAATAGAAAATGCCCTGCTGGAGGACGACAACACCTTCCACCTGGTGAGGCCGGCAGATGAAATCGATGAAGGGAAGTCAAAGAGAGGCAGCATGAAGGACAAAGCCATGACCAAAGCCATCACTGAGATCTACCTGACCAGGCTACTGTCTGTCAAGGTACAGCTGTGTGTGAGCTTCAGCAGTGGAAAGAAACACGATTTCATAATAATGTGTTATTAGTTAGATTGATGTAAATATATAAATGCCTCTGAGTGTGTTTACATGCACATTAGTATGCCGGTTTTGGATCCTTTCTGATCATATTCAGGATGCTGCGTTTACATGGAACTTGAAAAACCTGGTTGTTCTTTTCATTGTCGATTAATCTTTCAATTACTTTTTTCGATTAATCTATTAGTTATTTAGCCTATAAAATGTTAGAAAATGTCGATCAGTCTTTCCCAAAACCCGAGATGACGTCTTGTTTGGTCCACAATCCAAAGATATTCGGTTTGCTGTCCTAGAGGAGCAAAGAAAGCAGAAATTATTCACATTTAAGAAGCTGCAATCAAATCCTTTTTTCAATTTTCTTTTCCTTAAAACTGAATAATTGATTATTAAAATAGTTGGCGATTCATTTAATAATTTAAAAGTAATCGAATAATCACTGCAGCTCTAGTTATTCATACCCCTGTATACCCGACCATAACATGATCCAGGTGTCTGATCGTCAGGTGTGTCTTATTTTCTCACCATCTCAGACGTACTTTAGTGTGAAAATGAGAGTGGTATTTCAAACACTACGTGTGTGTGTGTGTGTGTGTGTGTGTTACAGGGCACTTTGCAGCAGTTTGTGGATGATTTCTTCCGCAGCGTGTTGTGCTCGGGCTCTGTCGTGCCTCCTGCCGTCAAATACTTCTTTGACTTCTTGGACGAACAGGCGCTGAGACACGACAACGTGGACGAGGAGACGCTGCACATCTGGAAGACTAACAGGTACACACACAAACACACATTCACGTTGTAGTCAGAGCTCAGCCAGAGTTGAGAGAGAGATGTGTTTTAGTGATCTGTACAGGAGCTCTCTGTGGCCGTTGGGAATATTATCCTCAGTTGTGAACATTTGCCATCTTTCAGACTTGTTTGTCAGCTGGTGCCTGCAATAAAATGTATTGTCAAGAGTTTCTTCTTTATATATTTTCAACCCTTTTGACCAGCATGTTCTATTCAAGATCCAGTACTTACTGTCACATCAACTTTGTCAGTTTTATATAAATATAATTATTAAATTTGATTCGATATGGACCTGTGTGTCTTATTATGTATTATTTTCCACAATTCATTGTATTACTAATCAGAAATATTGAAATATGCCCATTAAGGTTTCTCAGAACTTTCTCAGATGTCTTAAAAAAAAAATTTTTTTTGTCCAAAGATATTCAGTTTACAATCTTATTAAACAGAGAAATGCAGTAAATCCTCACATATCAGAATATTTTTATAATTTTTACTTTTAAAACGACACTTTTTTTGGTCAATAGACAGACTATAGGCATCTCTAAATGAGTGAAACACGTGTGATCAGTATACAAGGTGGGAGACCAAAGCTCTCCTTTGGCCTCACATGGATCGAACTGTCAGGAAACGACTGACTGGTTTATATGTAACACTTTTAACTGATTCAACTTCTGCCAGCTTCTCTTCAAAGCTTCTCTGAATCTCAGCTGGAGATATGACCTGCGAAGAAAACCTGCTACGAGAAATAATTATAATGCTTCTCAAGCTGTGTGCGTGAGTCTCCACAGCTAAACTACAGTGTAATTATGTCCTCGTCAATGCTAAAGCAGGCGGACGACAACTTTAAAGCCAGATCTAATCTGTTATCAGGACGGATAACTGATGACGAAGGAGAAGAAGAAATACGGACAGAAAGATTGCTTCTTCTCCAAACTTTCAAACTGGCCTTGAGCTCAGTCTGTCAATCATTAGAAAGACACACACACACTGGTTAGACATGAAATATTAATCAGTTATAGTGAATAATTCACAAGGGTTATGGTCTGTGGAGGTAGAGACGGCAGGAAGAGATGAAGGGATGGAGGGAAGAGGAAAGGGAAACCGTGTGTCAGCGGGTCCTCAAAAAGTCTGGAAACTTTATTAAGTACATTTACTCAAGTACTGTACTTCAGTGCAGATTTATGTTACTTGAGTTGTTTATTTTTATGCCACTTTTCTGCTTCACTACATTTAGTATCTGACAGCTTTAGTTACTTTTTGCATGAAAGCATATGAAGAGCTTATAAAATCTGATGTTTTTATTGTAAATTCAACCAACCAACAGTTTATACAACAACAGCTGAAACATTATTCAATTGACAGAAAAATAATTGGCAACTGTTTTGATCGTTTAAGTCGTTTTTCCTGTAAAAACAGTTCATGGTTTCAGCTTCTCAAATGTGAAGATATTCTTTTCCTTTGAATGATTGTATTTCTCACTGTCTTCCGAACCAAACAATCAATCAGTTAATGGAAAAAAATAATCAGCAGGTTAATTCATAATGAAAATAATTAGTTGCAGTCTGATACAAAATAGTAGAAAATTAGCTCCAGCTCAACAACTACAGCAGTAAAATCCTGCTTTTACATTTTAAATGCAGGACTTTTACTTGTGACAGAGTATTTTTACAATAAAAAGTAATTTATAAAAAGTGATATTTGCTAAAAAAAATGAAAGTTTTTAGGATGAGGATTAACCAATGTGTTTGGCAAATTTAAAGCTATCTCTCGTCCCATTTGCTGGAGTATAAACTTCCTCAAATCTAATAAAGTGCAGGACAGAGCTGCTAACGTTAGCCTAAACTAACGGCCATTACCAAATATTTTCTTATTAGAAGCTTGGATTAGAAGTACAGCTTCTCCAGGACGCTTTGTGATCACTAATTCCTTATTGTGTTGCAGCAAAAGTCTATGAACTATGGATGCGAGGTGAATTTGCCTCCCAACTCCTGATCTGAGGTCAGCTTTTCTGTCTCTCTGCTAAATGGTAACCAGGAAATCTGATCTCATGTCAGCAACTGGTTTCATCCTAAAGCGTGAAAATGCTTTGATGGACTTCAACCTTCAAGCGAGCTCTTAAAAAAATTATCAACCAATGAAAACCCACTACGGTACACACCACCGGCCAGTCACGGGTCTTGTTTTTTTTTTCTTGATGGCACAACTGAGGAGAGTGAATTCAGGGTACGATGAGATGAATTAAGTCCAAAAATCGAGTATTTTTACAATAAAAAGTAATTTATAAAAAGTGATATTTGCTAAAAAAAATGAAAGGTTTTAGGATGAGGATTAACCAATGTGTTTGGCAAATTTTAAGCTATCTCTCGTCCCATTTGCTGGAGTATAAACTTCCTCAAATCTAATAAAGTGCAGGACAGAGCTGCTAACGTTAGCCTAAACTAACGGCTAACCAGGACCGGTTTTCTGATAAGATGGGAAATACTACACAGTGGATGTGTTAGCTGTAATTTAGGCTGTTTTGTTTTCGTAACCTATAACTTTAAATAATGTCTTTAGTTAATAATGTGCTCTTGGCCTTTGTAAGTAACTCCGTTTCTGTAGGTAGGCAGTGAGCTTCTTCACTGGACATGCTAACATTTGTAGCTTACGTTAGAGATGCACACTTTTGCTCGTGTTTTTGGTTTTGGAAAGGTGATTTTTAACAAAGACATCCAAACTCTAAATAAAATTATCTTAATTACTTTGTATTTAGCATTTCTTTTATTAAGATAAAATAAAGCCCAAATGCAGTTTGATAAATAAATAAGGCAATAAGCCATATTTTATCTAACTTCGACTCAACAGTGACAATGTCAAGTCAGTGGTATTAGTTTCAGACACTTCAGCAAACATTTTTTTTAATAAAATATCCAGTTCCAGATACTTTTAAAAAGGTTTGACCCATAACCCAAGTCTTTCTGTGTCCTCAGCTTGCCTCTGCGTTATTGGGTGAACATCCTGAGGAACCCTCACTTCATCGTCGACGTGCACGTGACGGAGGTGGTGGACGCTTCGCTGCATGTCATCGCTCAGACCTTCATGGACGCCTGCACCAAGACGGAGCACAAACTCAGCAGAGTCAGTCCGCACAAATAAAGATCACACAAACGTTATACTCTGTGAGCCTGAACCCTGATTCAGCCTGGATTTATTTCTCTGGGGGAGGTAGAGGGGGATTATAACATTACAGCCTAAATTACCTTATGGCGAACTTGCCGGTCCTTTTTAATTTAGATACCCTCAGAGCGACATCCTTGTATTTGTGGCCTATATTTGTTTACATTTTGGTAAATTAGCTCCATTAAACGTATCCAGAATTAGCTATTAGCAGTTCCTGTATTCAGTCTCCCCATTGATGTGCACAGTTATCGCTTGATTATTTTTATACTGAATAAAATGTAAGAATTTGATGATTCTCTGGCTGAAGCGCATTTTCTAAGCATATTTATGATTGAGTGTATCTCTAACTGAAAACATGTTCACAGTCCTTCACTGGCTGCAGCTGATGAGTTACACTTAATCATAAAATAAACCCTAGACTGTTTGAATCCAAGAGAGGATTTCTCTGTAAAACATATTTACTCCACATAAAACAAAATGTGTTTTTTGATTGTTGGAAATTAAGATTATTCCGGGAAGCCTTAAAAAGGACCAAAAATTATTTGATCTTATTTTTTTCTCTCTCTCTCTCTCTCTCTCTCTCTCTCTCTGACTGCAGGAGTCTCCCAGCAACAAGCTGCTCTATGCGAAAGAGATTTCAACATACAAGAAGATGGTGGACGAGTGAGTTTGTTGCACATAATGAACAGAAACTGAGCAGATGTGTGTGTAAAAGTATTTGGGAAGAACGGCTGGGTCTGCATGTGGGTCCACTTGGCAATAAAAAGTCCAACGTATAAGACAAACCATAATGGCAAAAACTATATCGGAGCATGTTATTGAGTTCTAGATACAAATGTCATTTTATCACTTGTGATCACATGTGTTGACTGGCGTGTGTGTTTTTTCCCAGTTACTACAAAGGTATCAGACAGATGGTTCCAGTCAGTGACCAGGACATGAATACACACCTTGCTGAGGTGTCCAGGGTATGTTGTGTACATGTACTAGATAGACAGACAGTGATGGAATGTGACTAATACATCTTCTCAGTACTAAACCTAAGTACACATTTAAGGTTTTAGTACTTTAGTACCTCCATTTATGCTTGAATTACATTTACGTACATATACTAGTTGCTTTACAAATTTTACATATAAAAACATATGATCGTATCTGACGATCGGTAATAAAGCTAAATAACTATCAAACAGTAAAAAAAAATAGTTCATATCTGATCCACATTCACATACAACAAGAAAATGCTGCATACACATGAATGCATCTGTAATATCCATCCAAAATTAGATTTTTGGCCAAATAATCTACCCTATAGTTTTTATTATATAACATTATTAGAGACTCTATCTATAAATTATTGTAATGTTTGAGTGTGTTCAAAGCCAATTGTATGAATATAGGCACTGCACTACGGCCAAGTGCATTACTTATTACTGTTTTCTGATTAAAGCCTGAAATATAGCCGACACCAACGAAAACAAACCCAGTACAACCAGTAAAGACTGAGAGATGAATTTGCTTTTTATAATCGGGAAATATGTACCTGACTAATATTCTGAACATTTCTGCAGCTTGATGTTTGAATGGAAACAGCTGGGTGTCTACTTCAGGGGATTTCAACTATTTTAATACGCAACCTTTGTTTCCACTTTGTAGCAACACACAGACAAGCTGAACACCCAGGTGGCCTTACATCAACTGTACCAGTACGCCAGCAAGTACTACGATGTGGTGAGAAATGTCTTTATATAATTTCAAAATGTTGCTGCGCACCATTTCATTTCTACTTCTGTTCAGGGTGAAGAATACATGAGATACAACAGAAGAATAAATGTTATTATTAAATTTAAATTAAATAAATGTTATTATTTGCTGATATTGGTGTTTTTTGTTCCAGTTTAATTGATTAGCTAACAGATAATTGTTATGAAACAAACACAGTGCTGGTTGTCTGAGGAAAGATCTTATTCTTGTAAAAGATTTTGATATGACTTAACACAACTGATAATAAATTACTCTTGTCAGTTCCCGTTTTCAATGACTAAATAATAAAGTCTTAATTCTGGTTTGATGGACCATCATTAGCATTGCCTAATATTGTGCTGTAACAGCCCGTTCTCCCTCCCAGAGTGTCAAATGCCTACGCTTTTGTCTCGTCCTTTGGCGTCTGGTACCAACGCACATGGCAGCCTTTAGCATCATAGGCCAACGCACTGGGAGAAGCCCTTTATTGTTCAATGTTAAAAGTAGGCCTAGTATAATTAACAGAAAAGTCTGAGTAAGGAGGCGGTTGGGATCGATTGGTGGGTCAGAAACCGGAGTTTTACCCAGAAGAACGGTGTTCATTTCCTGTGTGAAACAAAAATGAACATTAATTCCTTTTATTTAAGTCACGTAATGTAGTTATATTAATCCACCTTTTCATAAACCAAACCACTAGTTTTAGTTTGAAACTCTAACCTGACGTTGCAAATGTATTATTGCTAACTTTAACGCGGAGCCCTACACGTGCAAAACTGACGCTAAAGGTTAGCCAGGGTCAAAAAGGTACGCCAAGGGTGTGGACCAAGCGTTCAAATGAGACGAGCTGGGAATGAGAATGGGTTAGTTGTAAAGCGCAGTACTTTACAGGATGAGACAAAGCATGCAGTAAAGATTTTCAGCCTGGGTGTAGTCACTCACTTTAACAGTAAAACTCACACGTACATTTGAGACACTTGTTGAGATAAAAACATTAGCATCAAATTATTTAATATTGGCTTTCAGCTGCTTCAGGCTAACCTTGTTTTAATTTTGTGTTCTTCAGATCATTCAGTCGCTGGACGAGGACCCAGCAGCCCAGAATAAACAGCTCACCCTCCGCCTCCAACAGATCGCTGCTGCCCTGGAGAACAAGGTCACCGACCTTTGACCTCTGGCCTCGTGGAGGGGTTATGGGGCAGAGCGAACGGATACTAAAACACAAGATGTTGTTTTTCATTTAAGGACTCAAAAGAGGATGAGCTCGCGGACTCTACCGAATATTTGACCATGTGAGGGGCTGAAGTGGGAGGAGTTATGGGAGATTTTGGACAAATGAAGTGTAAAAATATTCCCAGAGTGATGGAAACTGAACCGCTGATATCCACTACAGTCTGTATGGCGTACCTCCACTTGGCATCCCAAAACAAATCCCAAGCAGGGATGCAAAATGGTGACTGTAACGTGGCTGCTGATGGGAGCTCTTGTGAAATCAAAGCGTTATTTTTTTTTTTTTATCATAGCTAGGGCGTTCGGTTTGCGTACTCCTCGCCCTTGTTCTTTCTGTGTTTGGCTTCTCCACACCACCAGTTTTAATTTTCCCATATAAGGACTTAAGAAAAAAGTGCCACACAAGGAATGAAGATTGAAGATTTTTGGATAGTTTAAGATAAGTGAAGTAAGGAGACATTACCAAATATTTTCTTATTAGAAGCTTGGATTAGAAGTACAGCTTCTCCAGGACGCTTTGTGATCACTAATTCCTTATTGTGTTGCAGCAAAAGTCTATGAACTATGGATGCGAGGTGAATTTGCCTCCCAACTCCTGATCTGAGGTCAGCTTTTCTGTCTCTCTGCTAAATGGTAACCAGGAAATCTGATCTCATGTCAGCAACTGGTTTCATCCTAAAGCGTGAAAATGCTTTGATGGACTTCAACCTTCAAGCGAGCTCTTAAAAAAATTATCAACCAATGAAAACCCACTACGGTACACACCACCGGCCAGTCACGGGTCTTGTTTTTTTTTTCTTGATGGCACAACTGAGGAGAGTGAATTCAGGGTACGATGAGATGAATTAAGTCCAAAAATCAACACAGACTTTTCTTGTATCATGGCCAAATGTTGTTTTTCATATCAGCTGAGCTGGAGCATGTCTTTCTGTGACTCAAACCGCAGCTGAATCATTTCACTTTGTTTAGTTTCTTTATTATTATTAGGCTTCGCATTTCCATGTACAACATCAAAAGGATCTTTTTAATGGACTGACATCGTGCCACCTAGTTTGTTCTTTTGTAAAGTGTTAATCAGGGTGGTCCATAATGTCAGATCCTGTGCGTGTGTGTGTGAGTGAGCGTTTGATAGTTATCAACACCGTTGCCACTGAGAACCAGCTTGTTTTTACTTTATGCGAAAAAATCATGACTGCCTAATCATGTGGTCTAAAAAGCCAAACACATTTACTGTTAAGTGTGATTTGATTTGTTTTTATAAACTGTATAATTTCACTTCTTTTGCAAAACTCCCTTCATATACACATCTGCTTTTTGTTTTATAATTTTCTGTTTAACTGCACACATACAAGAAAAAGTGTCTTCTGAAGACAGGGTATTCATAGATCCTTTGAAAAGGTGTTCAAATGTATTAAATCCAGTTATTATAGGCCCCATTTGTCCATTTGAGGATGGTTTTTAGAGCTGCAAAATATAGAACCAATATGCATCCATTAGCCGACTGGACTACAAGAGTCTGATTTAAATTGATTGATTTTCAGCAGGGTAATGCAGTTAGTATCAGAAATGTTTTCAGGGACTCTAGAGTACATTAAAAATCTGGACGTCTCCTAACAAGTAATTGCCCCCTCATCATATGGTAGATTTTAAAAAAAGCCTAAAAGCAAATCAAACAAAGAAATAAAGTAAACTACAAAAGTCAAATATTTTGTATTATTCTTCCCATTAAATGTTTCATAATGTTCATGAGGTTTGTTTAATAAGAAATAGGACAGTTTTGTTTTGTTTCTGACCTGCTGAAACCTGCACAAAGCTTGTCTCCAAAATCCCCATTTTTGTGAAACCGCATCGTTAATGTCTTTCTAAAACGTACAAGGAGTCGACCTTTTCAGGAATTATTAATTTTTTTTAAATCCATAAAGCAGAGTGAGGGACAATATGTTTATGTCAAGTGCTAATTAGAGAAATATGGGAGAAAAAAAATCTTTTTGAATCCATAAACCATCATTTATATAACCAACCACTGTAAATGAGCAAATTGTGGACCAAGTTATTAAAAGATCTGCAGCAGTCTTTGGGTTTAAGTGCCGTTACCCCACTGAAGTGTAAATGAACTAATTTATCTTCTCCTGTGCTTCATATTAATCACCATAGAATCATTATATATCTACATTATTCTTTGCCTTCTGATCCCAGATGAAGTGCTTTTATGTAGTGCTTGAGTTAATATCAAAGATTAAATATGCAGTTTATAAGTTTGATATTGAACCCCACGTCTCTGCTACCGAAGTTGCTCTGTTAGTTGTTTTTGGGGGGGTGGGGGGGGTTCTGTGAAGTTGGATTTATTGATTCCACTGAAGTTTCACATCTTACAAACTGCATCTTTAAATTCCTGAGCAATACGACCTTAAGGCTTGTGCTGTATCTCTGTCTCCAATTCCTTTAACTGTAAATGGACACGCTGCAAGGCTCTGGCCAGAATTTGGCACCACAGGACCTCCAGATACAAAGACTGAAATACACTCATTTTAGCTTCTTCTTGTTTTTTTTTTCACTTCTCACATTTCTT